GCCTGCCCGGGCTAGATCAGGGCCCAGGTACTATCGTAAAACCTGAACGAACTTTACATATAGCTTAGGTATATCTGTATTTGAGATATTTGCAGCAGATATGCCTAAATATTATTTTTCGCTTTATTTAACTGTGTAGCCTTATATAGCATATAATATAGTACAAAAATATTTTCATATTTTTTTATAAGCAACTGCGAAAGGTTTAATTGACGTATATATATGTTTTACATAATTAACTTAATATTCTAGTAACAATTTTATGTAATAATGATGGCTTCGGTGGTATAACGGTTTACACCACTTTATTTCCAAGGATCGTTAGTTCAATTCTCGCACGATACAAGGAAAAGTATATTTTAAGTATCAGATATTTACTACAATATCTGCTTAGTTTGCTGTTTGCAATGACTGAATGACGCTGTTCAGGACACCTTTTACTTCACGAAATATGTTCTTTAGTTAGTTTCTTATACATATATGGACTTTAAGGTACTGATATATGTATTGTATTAATAAATATATTCAGCAACAGAAGTTGTTTCTAAAATAAAATACAATTGTGAAATTTAGAATGATGTGTCGTTGACTCTTTCACCCATCCACCAAGCTGTGAGAACTCATGAATAAATTTTACTTCGACCTCCTTAACCGATTCCACTCAGAGCAATATGTTAAATAATCCCGTTTATCTAGATGAGAATTCCAGTAGGTATAAGTTAAGCTATTTTGGGATTATTGCAGTAATATTGAAATGTGATACGGAATATCTGCCCTCGCTAATATAAATGGGATAGTAGATAGATGTGTGAGGTATTCGTTGCACGCATAAACGATTGAACGGATTTGAATGAATTTATCACACAAATTGTCATAGGATTCTTTTATCTGGAATATACATTATTGTGGGATGGATTTATAGTCAAATATATTCGAATGTGATAATCATTGTGATAGTTATCCGATAAATATACTACGAACATCTAGATAATTGTACATACAACTGTACTTATTATATAAATTTGATAATAATGTTACTACTGTAAATTTTCCACGACTGCTATTTCCAGTGAGGTTTTAGAGACATTTTAACATCGTTATTGCAAGACTTTATACTTTAGGAATAAAAGGTATCACTTCAGCGTAATATGGGTATATTACGCTGAAGTGATACCTCTTATTCCTAGCCTCCATGTCCTGCCATTCTGATATTGTTGTATGCAGCATCGGAGAGAAAGAAAAAAAATATACTTTAGATACCTGCGTAATTCGAACTTATGACCAAGTAGAGACAGTAAACCGCTAGGCCACGATGTTCCAAAAACATTATCATTAAGAAAAATAATATAAATATAAAGGAACATTTAACTAAATTGACCTTCGTCTAAAACAAAGTGAGTGACAGACAGCAAAATAAACTGAGTACGACTAATGAAGTCAGAAAAAAGACGCAACTCGAGTAAAAGCTTCACTGCCGGGCACCGCAGACATTTTTAATGGGGTCCCATTATGCGAGTTGTCTACTGCTATGTGTCTAATGATATACATGACAGAATCGCTTGAAAGCCTCGTAGTTTGCAATGAAATGTACACTCATATTATATAGAGTGTGTGTGAATTTTGTAGGTTTGTATGTACGTTGTTAGTTATTTCCGAGATGTTTGACTTTATATTTATCTTTTACTAGCGACCCGTCCAGGCTTCGCATGGATGTATTACAAACCTTATAATTTCTCGGCTTTTTCTATACTCTAACCCACATGTATTATACATATAAACCTTCCTCTAGAATCACTCTATATAGAAAACAGCATTAAAAGATATAAGCGAACAAACAACGGCAGCTTTATTTCATACTATGTAAAGGTAAACATATTATTCCTCGCGAATATATAAGATATATAAAACTAGCTACTCGCCCCGGCTTGGCCCGGGTGTACATGTATTATACATATAAACCTTCTTCTTGAATCACTATATCTATTAAAAAAATCGATTCAATATCCGTTGCGTAGTTTTAAAGATTTAAGCATACATAGGGATAGACAGCGACAGCGACTTTGTTTTATACTATATAATGGTAACCACCATTCTATAATATATTATATATACTGTAACAGTAAAGGATATATATGCCCTTTTCGCCTTATCCTGTAGATCAAGCAGTTTGCCATCCTCATTCTCGATAACTGGCTGTCATATTATCTACAGGTCGTACCAACGCAGCCGGTCAAATGACTCAGCAAATTCTTCTAAAGGAATTTGGGATTAAAAATAAATAGCTGGATATTGAATAGGGCATTACAGCAGCAAGCAGGGACAGAATTAATTTTCTTCTGAAAACTATTTAGGAATATTGGTAATAATTATAATCTTTCTTGTATAATTTGAAAAATAAACTAACTCCTTGTCTTACTGAATCTGACGAGATTGAGACTAATGAGAACTACCTATTCTTTACAGATGATATACCTTATTAATTGGGGCTCCACGTGACCCTCTTTGGTGGTTTAACTTATCTGCCTTCATTGTCGTAACCTTATATCCATTTTATTTTAGCCCATACCTTTACTATACCGTAATCAGCCATACAAATCATAAATTAGGTAATTTATATTATACTTTTCTTTTCTAAACAATAATAATAGAAATTATCTTAAGTAAACATTACAGTTTTTAAACAGCATGCAAATAAATACTTACTGACGCTACCACAAGTACAATTTTTGCATTTAAATAACAAGTTTAAACAGAAAAACGTAGTTAAAGATAAGATAGAAAAGATGAAATGCCTACGCTAGCTACTTACTATGGGGAACACACTGCCGCTTTATAACGTGATGGACATTACGGAACTAATGTAATAAAAGCGCGCAGCTAAGATTGATGTACGTGAAAGTTACATTCAAGAAACATCCTAGGGAAGGGAACGCCTTCCGGTTTAGCTTATCGATTTTATATAACGGTTATTGAGCACATTTTCGATACCAAAATATGTATCTATTATTGATAAAAGTATGAACAAAGTGCAATATAAGCGCAACGATGATTCACTCGTTCCTTATACTCGTGCACGGGTGCTACTCGAAGGAACTGCTCTGTTCTAATCACTACGACTTATTTTGTTAGTTCATCATCTGTATTTTTAATATTTTGAATTCCATTAATTTTGTAGTTTGTATTCACGCATAATTTTGACTCTAAAATATAAAGTTGTACGTTTATTCAAAATAGGACTGGACGAAAACGGATAACTTTCTGGCTATTGTTCTTGTGCTGAAACAGTATTTTGAATGTGTGGTAGTATAAAGAAGAGTGACTGTGACTATTGAAAATTGTTTAATTTTTTTGTTTTATTTATTTGAATGAAGATTATTAAAGATAAGTTGTTGTTATAGCTCCTATAATACATCAAATCAGCAAATCATTATTTGCGTAACAAATTAATGTATGCCATAGTTACCCCGCGTATTCCGATTAAACAGGATTTAATGCAGCTATTGCCACTGCTGTTGTAAATTTGTTATTACCTAAATTTACCTGAATACTTGTCACTTTAACAATGTAAAAAAAAACATAACGGGATAATGTTTGTAAATAGTTCATGTTTTAATTGCAATTAAAGTTTCTGAGTAGTAGTTTTAATATCAATTCGCTAGTTTTTAAATTTTATACCTACTACATACATATATGGTATATACATCCAGGTTATACGTTTGCTCTTGTGTAGCGATATATTGTTGAAAATACAAAAAGTATTTGCAAAAGAGTTTCTGTTCACAAGGTTTTTCCTACTCAGCCTCTTTTTTTTAATACATATAATAGAATAATAATATTATGAACATGCCTTTACTATTCTTATCACCGATGGAGTAGGCAGGTCGTCAGTCTTGGCATGACAAGATTTCGCTGAGTAACGCTAAATAGCATTATCGCCGTCACCAATGTCTTTGGGGCGGTTTCACCAACGGAAAGTCATTCAGAAATATAAATTGGCAGTACAAAGATTTTAATACACTAGCTCAGGGTTTGTGAACCACTGATCCATGTATTGTTTTTTCATACTTGTTTTGTTTCATACACATGACGCTGATGCTGGAGCCATTGTCTCTCAACAAGCTATTATTGTTCTTTTTTAAAAAAGCCAAATTGAAATCCTACTGAATAGAATAATAAAAAATAGAAACCCTATCCAGAAAAGGGTTCCTATTGATTATATTTTTTGTGTGTTGTATTGTGTGACAATAACGCAAAACCATCGACTCGTTTTTAGTAATTGTTGGAATAGTGAAGTCCTTAACGTATAATATAGTGGCTTTTTTATCGATATATAATACGTCTATATTGCCACGTTCACATTTCACCGTGAGCTTGTAATGACAGCCCTTCAGCGCGCTCGCGTAATATCCCGCTAACTCTGAAAAAGCGAACCCTATATTTCATCCCAAGTATTCCTGTACTCCTGTGCTTTACGAGGGTTAGGTAAATAAATTATTACCGGCCGTATGAAAATGGTTACTAGGTATCATTAAGTTTATCAGCTGATTTAGAAACATTAGATACCTATGTTCAATGTTCAATTCGATGACTTTTTGTACGTTAAGATATTGTTTCCGTTAATTAGCAGCCGATTTGGATTCTTCAATTGACTCTTCACTTTATTATACCCAAAGAAATATTAGACTAATTATTTAATTTGTGACACAAACTGAGCTCTTATTTAATATCGTGAGATAATTGTATATTATTTATTTTTAATAATTCTAAAACATAATAATATTCAGGATTAGGAGATTTTTAGTGTCATTTGTAGTAACAGCACTTGAGTAAACTATCAGGGAAATAGATCTGTATGTAAATAGATTTACTCTTAATATTAAAATTATATGTACAAAGAAAATAAGTGTAGAATAAAATAAGAACATTTAGTAAAAAAGCATTTAATTAACTATGATTATAGCAGTAATATAGGTAAAAAATATATTATTATATTCTTTATGTACAATTTTGTATAAATATAATTAATACGAGAACTATCAATTTAATACTGGTTTATCATAATTCTATTAACTTTAAATTCGTATTATAATAAGAATCCAATAGATTTAAAGTAGTAGATAATACATATGATTTAGATAACGTAAACTTAATTTTATTTATCAAATATTGTATTAAATCAAACTACATTAATTTCAAAATTAATTCGCTTAGGAATTACTGAGTTTCTTTAGATCTATGTATATCAGTCACTTCTTGTGTCTTACTATGTATTCGACGGCCCACAATATGAGACATGGAAGACAGCATAATATTAAGGCGTAGAAAGCTGGTACGAAATTCTGGTATTCGTCCTTTATAATACCTAAAACAACACACAGACAACATTACTTTAGTTTTATTATTTTACAAAAACAATTCACTATAATCTTAACATAGGTTAATAGAATATTACCTACTATGACAGAATCTCTTATGATTAAAAAAGAATTATGAAAGTAAATTTTGGCGAATATATTTTCAATGGAAATAAAAATATTCACTGAAAGAGGATTTTCTGAAATTCCCACGGGATAATAAATTCCATGCGGTTTCAGCTGTTGGAACCAACTTATAATAATATTTGTTAGAAGATTTATTTCTAAATCCCTATATCCTGTAACCTCGAGATAATTACATTATATGATATAATAATTACAGACTTTTTTGTGTGGCTGGAGTAGAAAACACCACTGCTGGTAATTGGTAACTATACTTCTATATACACGAACAGCACCACAGGCATCACGTTTTAATATCACTGCTATTTTTAGTTTCATACATTGCTATTCCGGAGGACAAAGGTATCCGTCTTCGTAGTTGTTGGTGGACTTAACACCTTGCGGCATTTTTTACCAATCAACACAATATAAAGAAATATGGGTAATAAATAATGTTAAGAAAAATTGTTGCCCGTTGTTCTATATTTTATAAACAAAACGCAGAATTTATTACATATGTGGGATGTAATAATATATTACAAAAATATATATTAGTCTAAATTTTAAGGAACTACTTCCCTCATTTATTATTCCATAATACTATCTCGTCCTTTACATCTCACTTTTCAATCAAAATCCAAGTTACAAAGCGCTTGCTTTTAGCTTAGCAACTGAAATAGTTATACCAGAACTATATGTAGACTTTGTAAAATAGTCGAGTAAAATTCAATCCAATTGAATAGATAGTTCAAATTACATATATAGATTCAGTTGAGTTACATCTAATAAAAACGGTTCAATTTGTCTCCACTGCGATCGTATAATTTATCACAGGAAACGTTTACGGGTTCCCGTCGTGTGGTGAAATATAACACTGTTTATACTTAAGTAAGAGACAATATATACATATATATATTACTATATGGATAGACTACTATATATATTAGATAGTGTATCACATCAAATCAAAAACCATTTGATCATGTAGGAAATTTTAGGTTTTTTGTAGTAATATTTTTCCCTACCGTCCACCAGTACAGTTTATGGATTTAATTGAGAAGAACTGGCAGGAAAATCAACAATAATCAATTAATTAATCTTTATATTCCTCATGTTTTAATAAATAAATAGCTATATCCTACTACAATAAGAATATGACTACGAGGTTGGATAGAATATAATTTACTCGAATTAAATTGAGCGTGCACTGCCGTGCGATATAGCTAGCTAGTTTACCAATATCCGAAACAACGTATAATATACCAGTTCTTACCCGAGACTTCGTTTGTGGTTTTCAAGATAAGATAGCTGTCGTTATACAGTCTATGATAAATTTTAATATAATCCGTTGAGTCGCGAAAAGGTAACAAATAGACAGATAGAGGAACATTCTTTTGAACTTGAAAATAAGACAAATTTCCATCTATCAAACATCATATTTACATTAAAGTTACATCAATTTATTTAAATTTCAGAACGGAAAATGACCTCTCATCTTTATTCATCAATTATTTTTATTGATCAGATAAATCAATCAAGTACTGAGAGAGGAGTGTAAATATCCACTCGTAGTTCATTCTGTCCATACCATAGATGATGTTAATATCGATAATTCTCGAAAATATCACTGTATTTGTTTAAGTTTATTATTTTTGGTAGGATTTGGAAATCTGCCGTCATCGTCGTTATCAATATTTGTACTGAAATATACCTAAACATTATAAATATGTATTTTTTAAATATGACTGTCTTAAAAATATTGTATATATTTTTTGTCATTGTACAATTTTATTTAAACTGTCCCTGTGTACGCCGCAGAGGTCAATTTACAGCTTCGCGAGTGCAGAGATAATCGCAAATCCGATGAACACTAGGAGTGGCTAAAGATCATTTCCTGCCTATTGGATACGACTTAGTATGAGGACACCATTAGGTTTTTATACCTCGCTCAGGTAATTATAATATTTTGGTGAAATATAGCAGTGAATCTACAGGATACAGAGACAACCTCTGACAAGCCTTACGAATGGAGATCACGAAAGTGCCAGGGTATCCCCTGGAAGGCTGGATGTATTTTACGATGTCCGTGCTTTACCTATAGATAATATTTAACTTTGGGCTAGGATTACTAGATTATATCAGGATCATCATGAATTACTTATTTATATTTGAGTTAGAAAAGATAATTACTATAAAACCTTACATGTGTCAAATACTGATAATTTTTTTATTAGTATTTGCCACACTTTTGCCTGCTGCTTTGCCTACTACTTTTTTCTTTACTGCCCTTACTAAAATTATATAAAACACTCTGTTTGTTACCTCAAACATTTGAAATATAATATTTGGGACGTATAAGAATATGCGTTATTACACAAATAAACTTGGTTTAATATCACAGACATAGCGCGGTAATTATAATAGTTATTTAAAAATAACAAATATCATTGACTCATTGACCAAATTAACTATATACTTTAAAAGATAATATGTTAACAGTTGACATAGTTTATTAGAGTTTGGTAAACAAATCGCGACAAATTAGATACAAACTGTGTCCTAATTATTAGTATCTGCATTACGTACGAGTTTATTAAAGTATGTAGTAATAATTAAAGATCTGCAATGATTAAGTGATCAAAGATCTATTAAACTCGGTAGATTATAAAAAAATATTTTAATGAGTTGTGTACGCGATATTATAAATAACCTTTTTCTTAAGAAATTATTGTTATGAGAAAAAAATAAAAAGTGTATTCTTTTTTGTCCTCCATGCGTTGTCATCTCGGAGGATCCAGATGCCCTTACAGGGTATTCGGCGTTTTAGTTCTCTATTAGTCCTCTTTACTACTGCTTCTCTCAATTCTCAACCTTCAGCAGAAAAGCATCTTACAAAGCAAGATGTTTGACGGCTGAGATAGGTGAGAAAGAACTCACCACGCAGACCTAAGTAAATACATATATTGATTTCATATGCGATGAACCAAATGATGTTTTAATAACAAATCAAATAGCGATGTCATATAAGTTGATACAGTTATCAGTTTACCTGATAATCATGATACTATTTTGACGGCTCCATATTATTTTGTGTAACAACCAAATGCATACATGATTTCATTCTTGTATTCAAGAGTAGGTACAAAATTATTATTGGGTTGAAGTTCAACCAAAATTAAGTTTTTACCAGAATTATATAGATCCAGAATAGACCTGAATGGTCGTGATAAATACTAGAGTTGGATTTTGTACCTAGTCGTCTGCGAGAGTACGTCTGTATCACCCATTTCAGACAGCCGCAATGCAGTTTTTTGTAAGCTGCTTTTTTATTCAGGTTTGTTTTAAGTAGTTCATTTCCTATTCTAATCAAACAAAAATCTTTTTAAATAATTACCAATAATTGGAGCAATTGCTACGTTGACCAGACCAACAGCTAGCAAGAAAATTGCATAAGCTCCCGGGAAGTCTTCATGGGAAACATGATTGGCAATTACTAAAGGACTGGCCACGTGTAGTCCGGCTCGTAGCACTCCCAGTATACCAGTTGCAATAGCCAACCAGATGAATTGGTGTACTTGGAGGATTACTGAAACAATAATATAATAATAATATCTCAAAATAATTCACACAGCGCCGTTTAGTCTCCAGCTAAGCGGAGATTGTGTTATAAGTACTAGATAGTATTGTAGATAACTGATACAAATCCATATATATTTATTTGTTTTAAATACATATTATACATAGAAAATAACTTGACCGACACTAACAATCATACTCATAGATAGAAATGTTTGTACCGAGGAATGAAATTCATGCCCATTGAAAGTAAGGCAGTGTGCCAAATCCCTAGACCACAGAGGCCATCAAAATGTAGTAAAATAATCAATTATAGTAAATTATATTGTTGTTATATATAATAAAGTATGTAGTACTGCTTTAAGAGATAAAATCACTGGATTGGAATTACAAGTTTCTTTTGTTATTTATTAATGCTAATAACTGTTAATGTTAAGTATTGTTTTATATATAAAATTCGCTTGTGTCAATGTTAATTACCATACTCCTCCAAAACGGTTGGACCGATTTTTATGAATTTTTATATTTATATTTAGAAAGTAGTATCGGCTACTATAATATTTTTCGAAGTGATTGTCCAACCCTAACATTTTATTTTATTTTTTTATAAGGTGCATTAAAAAATACATACTACCCTAAATTTTCACCCTTCTATTACCAACCCCTAGTTTTTAACAGCGATTTTAATTTAATTGGCAAAACAACGTTTACAGAGTTACCTAGCATAATATATATTTAACTGTACACATGAAAATAGGATATATCGATTTTAAAGAAATTGGGAAAGTTTGTTGGCACACAACCAAATTGTTACAATCGTTTATAGATAGACTGACAATATAAAGGCCATGGTCGATATTATACGCTGGTGTTATACCATCAGTGTTAAAGGTTCGTAGGTATTAAAAATCAATAGATGTTGTTGCTTGTTTTACAATAAGAATTTTACAATATACATAAATAATATGAACATAAATTTGTAAAGAACACCGATGTGATGAATTTGAATGTAGTAAAAGAAGTATCAGGCACAGCATTTGTGTGAAACTAATTGTACCCGGAATAGTAAGTATTCTCTTTATTAATGTAGGATACGATCTACATGTCAACTCAATTTCAATAAAATCCATTCACTATTTTTCTAGGAAAGAATACGAAAAATTCATCTACGTTACATATATCTATCTGTATAACTTCGTTCCTATAATTCGTAGTAGGTATTATATATTTTATAACAGTTTTGAATTTGAACTGTTTGAATATTATTATTCAAACAGTTTCAAAAATTAATAACCTTATGCTTTAGAATTCATTATTAATATAATAAAGTCAAAACGGCCTGTTTGCCACTTTTTGACTACTAAACGACTGAACGGATCTAAATGAAAATTGCCATAAGTATAGATTGCTCCATGAAAGTGGACAACATCCTTAGGTTCATCTTCATGCTTCAGGTTATCTCAAAAAAGCAGGTGAAATAGGTAGCTTGTCAAAATTGAGTTAAGTTTATTATTAGTAAAAAAATATATACTCGTAGGTAAATGTTATGATGCTGCAATTTTATTTCATTGTTTGCATTAATAGCATTTACTTCAAGTGTTTGTTTTATACGCATATCTATAGACAAATAAGTATTTACATATAATTCAATTGTACATAAATGTACTAACGCATTCGGTAAGATGTTATCAAAGGTACTGTAAATGCTACTTGTCATCAAGGTTATGGATTACATAAAATATTGTATAATCATTTGAACTACTAATAATAATACAAAACATCTCTGTATCAAACTAGAAGTACTATATTAATCTTAAAGACATGTAAATACATGTGCTATTTCAGATATATCAAACTTTTATTTTATAAAGATTTTGATTAAAAACATGAATTTCGTGCATATTACTGTTTAAATTTTACATAAGCATGATATGAAAATTTTTAACTTTACAACTATGTAATACATATTATAACAAAATCGAGACGAAATGAAAACTGTCTATTTATTTATTTGAATATTAAAGTTACATATAAGGAATTAGAATATTATTTTCACAGAAAATGAGTGAAAACAAAGTATAGAAAATCGTACAGAAATACTCACCAAAGAGTCGAAAATATAAAATATTACGATACAATTTTGATAATTATTAATTATTTTTTAATATATGGCGTTATTTAGACGTTTTAGTCCTTGTTGTTGTTGATCGAAGCATGCAGACATAGAATAGATGTGTTTTTAAAGAAAACTCACGAAATCTCAGGCAGAATTAGAAAATACTCGTAAATACATTTGTTATTTGCAACCAAAAATGTTAGGGATATATATAAACTTATTTGTGTATTTTCTTTCTTTCATTTCTTTAACATTTTATATAGAGGTGTGGAATGTTGTTACTGTTCTAAAAAAGTCACGAGACTTATTTCAAAACATTTGTAGAGTATTTTTAAGATATGCCTAGGAATCCAAATTATGTTTTTGCCTACCCTAATTCGAATATAGGAATAAGCTAAAATATTTTTTATTAGTTAGGAACACTATATCCCTTCTAATGAATCTTTTTTATAATGTTAGTTGTTAAAGGTTATGCTATGAATCTTAGAAGCCGAGTAATAAGAAAAAACCCAAAACGCTAAGCAAAAACGAAACAATAACGCAATGTGTGATATAATTTCTCTTAAATTAAATTTTATATAAATGGAAATAATACTGTTATAAATTATAATTTACCTATTCTGAAGAAGACAGTAATAAGGACAGTGAAGTAATATAAGGCTCTCGTATTTATCTTGGTCTGGCTACTAATAAAGCCAAGCGCAAACCGACCAGCCACATCAGCGCCTGCACATATAGAAATACATGTCGCTACTTGCATCTGTAACATATAAATGATTATTATAAATAATCTAATTAAATTATAGTTATGTTTAGTCTATCTGATACATTTTATATATTGGGGATATACTTGGATCTAATGTGCCGGGAGGTAAGCCTACATCTAGGATTAATTTTAATTTGATTTTGGTGTTACAAACAGATTAAAAAGTGAGTATGAAATATAATTGACCATTAAGGTCTAAGTTGGAACAGTGGTCCAATGAGCCTCAAAGCTCTATTATTTTATTTTATTGTATATTTAATTTCTATACTAATATTGCAAAGCTTAGTTAGTTTGTTTAATACGGGGAAAACTCCAATTTAGGAACTATTTTCAATTGAAAAAACATTTTAGTGTTGTAGGAATTATCGTGGAAGATTATGAGCTATATCATTCATCACGCTACAACCAATACGTGATGCTGATGAAGTTATGCGGGTCACCTAGTTATTTATAATATCTAGGTAGTAAGTTCATGATGATATATTCTCTTTATCTTAATGCTTCCTGGACGGAGAAATACTCAGAAATACACATTAATATACAGAGTTTATAGTTCTGACTAAATTAGAATGTGTGGTGTTTATGTTGACGTTCTGGCTAAATTTGTATATGTGACATTTTTAAATATTATAAATATGATGAAAAACGTACTTTGTCAAAACCATATTGCAAAAATAGCAGCGGCTGTAGAACAAAAAATGTAACATCCGAAAAGTTGCAAAAACTTTGTCCGATGCAAATATTACAAAACACTGGATCTTTCAGTACTCTTAAATTAAACATCTCCAGAAATCTCGTATATATACTGCAAAATAAAGTAAAGTTAATACACTTTAATTTAGTAAATCATTATTAAAATATTCCCGTCTGTAATATATGTTAAAGTTGGCCAATTTTATGGTTACAGGTTAGTTACGGTTCTGTTTAAATTCCACCTAGAACTTACCTAACTTTCTTAGCCTTACTTTGTCCAGTAGTAATAGCAGTTTCATATACAACGTCAGTACTACTATTAGAAGGATTTAACAAATCCACATTTTCATCTACCCCTTTTCCACATTCTACATTATCTGTAAATTTAATTTATATGCATTTCTTCCTTCTATCCATTTGAAATAACAAAGTATTGTATAAAATGGTAAATACTTGTAACTTTCAAATTTTTATTCTGTCTTCTTTTTCCATTAGTTCGCATGGTGATCATTGCAGGAAATATATGAAATGTTATTGCACTTATCAGCAGAAGAGTTCCTCTGAAGCCATACCAAGTCATAAATATTTTTATCATGTATGGATACCACATTAAGAATACTCCTTGAACACCCTTGCAAATACTCAATGCTGTTGTTCTTTTATTCTTCTCGTAATAATAATTCAACGTTGAATAGCATACTGGTGTAATCATACCAAATCCAATGCCCTGAAGTACACCATAAGTAATAGATAATTCATTGGTGTTTTTTATAAAAATTGTTGTAAAGGACCCAACTGATAGTATAACTGCACCAATGAAGCCCCCAAATTGGAGGGAAAATGTTTTTGATATCACGTTTAGTATTATACCTGAAAATAAAACAAATAAATAATATATAGATAAAAATAAATTGCAGCAGTGTAAGTAAAAATAGTAGGTAGTCCCTTATTATTCGCAATATCCACATTTCTTCTATATCCACAATATAGAAGAATATCTTTCATCTCGTTATAATCTTACATTTGTATACTTATCTAGAATACAAACTATGATATAATACCTCCAATAGCCAACATTAAAGCAAACACCCCATGTGCTGTTGTCAAAGACTGAGTGGTAGATTGTGTAGCGATAATAAAATCATTGTATATTAGTCCAGATGAATTTACATGGCCAATACCTGCAATCTGAAATTTCACTCTAGTTAATTTTTGTACACAACTAAGATAATTATAATATTCTCAACTTGAGCATATTTTAATTCAATAATATTGTTAATAGTAGCAGTAGTATTGCTGATAGTGGGTACTATAACTTTTCCTTTCACACAATATTTTTTAACCAGTTTTATGTACTGTTACCAGATTTGATGCAAAGTATGAATATTTTTGTAGGTGGGAACTATATTTAGCTTGGTTCAAAATTAACTGCTAGAAAGAGAAAACATTACTATAAAATCAGTACATAAAAGCGAGATGGATAGCAAACAATGCTTACTAGAAAACGATGGCTATGTCAACTGTTTCTGTAGCTTCTAAATATAACAGTTAATTATAATTTTAAAATAGTAAATACAATAAATAAATAATCCATTGCAAGCAAATAATATAATAATTATTATAATTCAATGTGATCCTATATTTAGAGAAATATGCTGCTATTAGAATTATTATAATAATAATTACTTTTCATTCAATGGTTACTTTGTGTTTGTTTTTTGCTTTACTTATACTATATTATTAGAAGTAAATATGGTAGTTCAATAAATGACTAAAGCATAATAATAACCCTATTAAATACTGTAAACATTACAAAAACATCATTATTTTTATAAAATTAACCTCTTTATCTTCTATTTTATAAATGTTTCCAATGCAATTTAGATATATTATTTTATTTGTAGCTAATTGGTACAACTTGTCAACAATAAAAAATATCGTTATCATTTGCGTCTTATCAGTATTATATTCATATAATACTTACAAAACTAATTATTGTTCCAAAACAGACCATGTAACCCCAATTGTCGGTCTTAACTCGCTTTTCTTCATCACTTTTCACTGCTTCACACACTTCATTATTCATTTTCAGTACGTCTGATTCGAACTCACTCATTTTTATAACTGAACTGAACGCAACCAGATGGGAGAATAGAGGATTAACCTAAGTGGTTGTAAAATAGGGTTGTCAGGTATAACAAATTTACTATTTCACCGAGATTAGGTATGTGTTACACTGTGATTAGGTGTGTAATTACGTGAGATTGCGTTCTAATATTATATATATGTATATATATATATATTTAGTCTTTATTTTTATACTATTCATAAACAACTCTTGTGTTTTCAATTACATACATTTTTCAATATGTTTTAACATACTTTGTAATATTATATCGTGGTAAGTTCTAAAAAAAAATATTTTAAGGCGTTATACAACTCTGAATGCTTGTTTCTCTCTGCTGTCTCTGCCGCTATAAATAGCCAGGAGGAATTAAATTCGAAGTAATGGTATTTGTAGCAGGAATGTTTGGCGATCTTTTTCAGATACCGTTAAAATCAGTTTATTATAGATTGTGAAGTTTATTACACATTATAATAAACTGATTAAATAGAGTTGAATGAACAACTGTATAAATAATTGAATTTATAGATTCAATTATTTAATTCAGTTGTAATGTTTACGTATTCCGTATTAAAAAGGGATCATTATTTCTACTATAATACAAAATAACTTACCATATTACTCGAGTAAAACTGCGAATTACAGCTAGTATAGTATAATTGCCAGTATAAGTACAATACAATGAGGTAAGTAGACAGCCCTAGATAAGGAGAATATTTATACGATAACAATCCTTTGTTCGTACGTATGAGATCACCACATTGTATGTGTGTATGTGTATGCTACACACATACGCACTTCCGTTTTGGCAAGATCCATATATAATCATTATATTAAAAAATAATGTATCTACTTGTTAGTGTGTGTGCATCGGATAAAACATAAATAATAATAATAATAAAATTGCATTTTTTTTGTCCATTATATTGCAAGGGTTTATTGATAACTGATTACTATTAATCGCTTACAGATGAATAAATATATACCTACACCATATACCTATATATAAAAAAACCACCACCATAACTCTACCTATATGTAAAAACAAAGTCAGCCATGTTTGTGTGTATGTTCTCGATAATCTCAAAAATTGCTGAACGGATTTAATATGGTTTTCATACATTAACAAGTGATTTCTGAGGAAGTCGTAGGTCAATACGGTTTTGTGTGTTATTGAAAAACCCATGCAAAGCCGAGGCCGGTCGCTAGTATTAATTTAAAAAAATGTGAGGTCTGAAGTATCCTGACAAGAATACAGAATACATTGGATTAGACCAAAGACCACATTATTTAATCCAAATTTTTTATTACCAAGAGTAAAAAGAGAGTTGTTAGAAGTTTGACGTATCTGTATATCCATGTCTGTGTGTAATATTATAGCTCTTAAAACCAAACCTGGACCCGTAGTGATGTGGGTTTTTTGTTTGAAATCTAACGTGATATAATTCTTAACTACAATTTAGCATAGTTTGTTTAGATTTTTTCGGGAGTTTTGAGTAAGTCATTTAAATTTTGTAATTACATTTCCATATTTATTTTCATTGTATACAATATTTGGCACGTAAATCAGCATTTAACATGTTATGTATTGACTACGGCAATATACCTGGTCTGGCTACACTACGCCTCCAAGGAGACATTCTCGTCTAAGGACCAGGAGTGATTTTGAGAGTAACGCAGCTGCAGTAGAGTCACAACGCGAGTTTCAAGGCGTTTGTGGCCCGGGTTTCCATGAACATGCTGCTTACTTTCATAAAGGAGGACTACTGGCCAAAGGAGGTGGTGCATAGACGCTACCGTGGTAGATTGCCGTCGTCAGTGCGTGACCATAGAGACAGTTCTTTAACCATCTAAAGTTCTAAATGAGGTTTAAATTAACACTAACACCAATTTTTAATAAATTGCCACATACAAACAACTACAAACATATCCTATAAGTATTGTATACGTATCCGTATCAATACTGTATCGAATTCAAGCTAAGTTACATGGATATCATAATTACTTACCTAAAATATTATAGAATTATAATGGAAACGCGAATTTTAGAATGGAGATATAATACACGGGGAATTCCGCTATACTAAACCAAATCCGCTATTTTAAACGCATGTATACTTCTTCATGAAGTCAATAACATAAATCAACTTTAACTTTATATTTGGAAACGTGATTCATTTATTTTAGGAACAAAGCTCGCATGAACTTACTTATATATAAACGATAGTTATAGCATTTCAGCATTTGGGATACTAATCATAAGGTATATAACATATATGATATATCTTGTAGCTGAAGCCCACCGCTTCGCAAATGTGATATCTAAAATAAAAATATGTCGTAACTGTTCGGAAAACCCATTAGAATTTGCACAAGAGTCCAAAAGGTCCTATGTGAATTTTGTATTTGAATGTAAGACCAAGTTGTAAGTAAACCTTACAACTATGCGGTAGTGAAAACTGCACTCAAATTAGTTAAGCTATTTCTGAGATTAGCATGCACGCAAAATTAAATAGACAAAAATTCTAACAATCATAGTTTTGGTTTGTATTTCACTATATAAATTCCTGCAATAACGTTTTTTTTCATATATCTGCCATATACAAACAGCGATCACTTAAAATTGTATTATATACGAGTATATAGACCAATTTGTATTTTGCTCAGCTCAAATTGGAAGCAGTTGAGACAGATATGGGTCGTACATTTGCTTCTATATAAATACTGTATTCTGCAAATAAATGATTTGATTAGTACCGAAAACAATAAAGGCACCTAGTACTTCTTAATTACTTCTAACAGTACGTATAGAATATAGATCCTACAGGAAAACTCGTAGCGTGATATAAATAAAAGTGAGTATATTTTCATAATTTATTAATGTAACAAACAATTTCTTTAGGTTTTTATTTGAGTTTTTAGGGCTTAGCTACATCTAGTACCGTATATAAACATATAAGTGGAGAAAATCAGCTATTTTGTGATCTTATTACTAACAATAGTATTATTCAAACTGCTGTATTTAAATACTCATATTATTAAAATGTAGTTAATTTTTTATGTTTAAAATTCTTTTAACCAATAATCAATATTATATTGATGTACATATTAATTTATGTAATTGTTGTATCTTTCTGGGAGAAGAACAATAAATTGTTTTTCATTTCAATATTTTTTGTAGACGCCCTGTCCTTACTATACAATTTTACGAAATATTAAAATCCAGTTTTATTAATTATATTATGTACAATTCCTAAACATATACAGTCTTTAGGTTATAAATTTATTTGCGAGCAAACAAGATTCAAATAAAACAAATCAGTATAAAGAGGAACGTAGGAAACGTGATTTGTGTTTAAACAAAAATCCCATGTTGAAAGAGTTAAAGCTGAACTTACATATAGTTTTAAATTACAAGGTTGTCTGTAAGACATTTCTTCAAGAGATAACGCCAAGTTTTGTTTAGTATCTTTATGTAAATTTTTCTTTTTCAGCGTTCAACAATAAGTGTTAATATTAATATTACATGTAACTGTGAAAAATTTTATGATAATATTACTAATAGATGTTTACACAATATCTGTAAGCCTCAAAACTGTTTGCTAAGTACATTTAAACATCTCACCGAATCTTCATAGTGAATATAGTTCTACTATTAATAAGTGACATTTTTTTCGTCTTAGAAGCCGTTGCGGTTAATTGTCCACATAGGGCTTTTTAATCTGATGTTATTCTCATCCTTTCGTCCTTCAGTTCATCAGTAATTAGTGTTCCGTTAACGTACCTATCCTATTAAATCAGATCTCTTAGACGAGAATCAGAATTGACTTTAAATTTATGTTGTACCTTAAATACCATTAACTCCACTAAATTTTGATTCAGAGTTACAACATGCAGTTTAGGTATGGAAAAATTTCGAGGAATGATAATACAAGTGGTATTTTAATGGTGGTCGGGATTTGTTATCAACAAATAGCTTTCGTATCGCTGCTAGTTCATTTATGATGAGACCGTACATTTCTAATGTATCTGTGGTTACAAAATGTTCATAGTGTGATCACGGGATATCTACATCTATACCCATAGCATTATTTATGTCTTTATTACAATTTTTCATAAACCCGTAGTCAGTGTAATCACCATTGAAGTTAAAAAGAACTTAAAATTTTTGGTTATCATAATTCGTAACTAATATACTTATATGTATAGGCAATTATTCCTACACCTTTATTTGACTAGTCATTTTTATGTAACATAATGCGCATAAAAATTTATTACATTCTTTTAAATCACAGTCTATAATTTAAACTAATGGATCACGTTTGAAGAGACTCAACTGTACGCCTTCGATTTAATAATCTAATTACGCCTTCAATGCCCCACGGAATCACACAGCAAAGGTTGCATGCTGTAAGCATGTTGAAAGCTATTACGTAGCTTCCTGTGTAGTCTCTAATGAAACCTGGAATTAAAATAAGAAAATATAAATTTCTGTAATAGTAGTATATGTATAAAATACTCATTCATATTTAGCTTGCGTTCTTAAATAAGTTACTTTACGTAACTTTGTTGGTTGTCCTAAATAAATAATAATCAAATTTTTTTATTATCTAAAAGATTCAATCAGTATATTGAGTCAAAATACAAATATTAACGCCTTATTGATAAAAGGTAGCAAATACTAAGTTTGATATTTTAGGTATATTTTGCCATCGTATTTTACCAGAGAGAACTTTGTGCAATCTGTCTGCAGTCTACATAGATACCTCTATGACTACTACTACTGCCAATTGCTTGCTCTGAAGACTATATTCCAATTATTTAAATAAGTTATGGGACTGAAACTTACGTAGAAGGAGGTAGTACAGACATCACGATGTATTTTGAAATATAAATTTCCTAACGACTTCAATTCAATATCAAATATATGTATATGTAGTTCCAAATTATTAGTCGGCAATGACAGTAAAAAATCTCATCAAGTAGAATATATTATTGAACAATAAAAAAGAAATCCTGTTATTACTTTCTACTACTTAAGCAATCAATTACAAAAATATAGTGCCTAAACAGCGTAATCGATGCATTAATTCTAGGTGGGTATTATTTGCTATTTAAAATTTCCAAGGCGTTCATATACACATTACCAATTATGATGCTTTACTGGAAGATATAGTATTTAAATAACATTTTATTGGCATGCACTAAAGATAAATATATCATTGTGATTTACTTTGTAGAGATCGAATTCACTAGTTTGTAGATAGAACAATCTATTATACGTAACTCTGGAAACTTTTTGGTTCCCAAATACTTTAGACGATAATAGTACTTGATTCCCAAGTAAAATAGAAATTATAGTTGTAAATATAGCAATTATTAGTAATAATTGGTCTGAAAGTCTAAATAGTGGGTAATAGTTTATTACCCACTATTTAGACTGCTTTTCAGAGATAAAAATAGCATATGTCCGTCCACAGGATGCAAACTACGAGTATTTTCAAGGAAAGGTAATAAACATACAGACGGCCGTACTTTCACATTTATAATATTACTATGGATAAACTGTTGTTATCTTACCTATCATGGGGCCGACTGATAAACTCAGAGCTCCAGTTAACAGCATATAGAGTCCGTACGCAGGTGGATATTTCTCTATTGGCACATGCTCTGCCATTACAATCGGTTGGGCAATATGCACCAATGATCTCGTTGCTCCTAATATTGCTGTCAATACTAATAGAGGCATAAATGTTGTGTACTGAACAAATGCTGTAAAAGAAAAAAATATATAAAAAAAATACACTTCACTACATAAACAAATGAATATGATGTGTGTGTTTTTTTATGTAACTATAATGACAAACGAGTTATACACTTAATAGGCAAGGATATGCTATAGCCAAATATAGATGCCATTCCTATAAAAAAATGTGATAGTCCTTCGCTCCATGTAATTTATGTATTATTGACGGCATCGGGGATGTAGCGGGTTAGCACACCGCTTTACTTCCGATGTTCGCGGATTCGATTTCTCGCACGGTGTCAACTTTATTTATTATATACCATTACTAGCTAGTTGCCCTGGCTTCGCCCAGGTTCAAGGTTTCAAGGTTCAAGAGGAAGGTTTATATGTATAATACATGTACGTATTATATATATAAACCTTCCTCTTGAATCACTCTATCTATTAAAAAAACTCTTCAAAAGCCGATGCGTAGTTTCAGAGATTTAAGCATAAATACGGACAGCGACAGCGACTTTGTTTTATACTATGTAATAATTATAATGATAATGATTTTGTACTTATGTATATATATAATATCTATATTGACAATGCAGAGAGGAATTAATATTAAATATGATAAAATAATGATATGAAAAAATGATATAATATATTAAGCGTAGTCAACTCTATCAACGTGGTTAAAGAGTACACAGCCATCTTTCGGACTAATTTAATATCTGTGTTTCTATGACCACATAGTCAGAAATATAAATTGCCACACAAAGTTTTTGGTGTCGGTAAGATTCGTTCTCTGGACTTTTTGGTTCAAATCGTTAAACCATAACGTGACATATGATTTATAGGTTAATAATACTTACCTATTCTAAATATCGCAGAAAATAAAGCACCCGCGAAGAACATAGAGCGCGCGTTTATGGTAAAGAATTGTCCTGCAATACCCAGAAGTAACCTTGCTGTCATGTCTGTAGCTCCACCAAATGTAATTATGTAGGCTATTTCGGACTGAAAAGCATTAAGAAAGAAAACTCATATTAATTATGCTTTTTTCCAGTTATTTATAATTAGAACTCGAGATTATGTTGTATATTACATACTTAATATTTTTAAAGTCAGTTAATGTTTAAAATCAACATTAAACTCGGTTTAGTTGTAATTTAGGCAGTAGATGAATTGTTTTTTTAGGTGCATATATGGCTTTTATATATAAATATTAAAGATGTAATTACATTATGATAAGTTCAAGTAAACTTAATAAACAACTACTATTATGATAATCCTACTCAGAATAAAACCTAATTCTGTTAAAGTATTCAGAACATACACAAACTACTGTTATTCCAGATTTGGTAGTCTGACATCAGCATTATCAACTTCGATGTTCTGTTTCTGATGAACGCTACACTTGAACCTACATTCCGCTTGGTATATTTTAATCAAACGTGTCACGGGGCGATAGGCCTACCGCCATCTCTTTGATTAATTTCTGGTTTGATATCGTAGTTTCCATCTCAGAGATTCAGTCAAAAATATAAATTTAAGTCGGCCAAATTTTAAGTTACTACTTAAATTGATGAATAAAATAAATAATCTCACCTGACTCAGATGATTTCTACCCAAGAATAAGGGTTCTAATGTAAAGAATGTTAAATCTGCAAAGAAAGTTAACGCCATTCCAACCGTAATATTATCATAAACCCAATCCTTTAGCAACGTTAAGTCTAAAAATTCAGTTACTGTTTGCCTGAAAAAAAAAAAGATATTTCTTTTATGGATTCTAATTAAGCACAGCAAATGAACCTTGAATCGAGACGATTAAAGTTAAGTACTCGTATTAGTATGTATATATTCCTATGAGTCCAATTGACTTTCTACAATTTAAAAATAGGCCCAAGATTAGAATCTAAATCGTCGGGATAAAATTTAATGCGATCATTACCATTTTCCTTCCTTGTTCTTGATAATTGGCATTGGTTCCGCAGCAATATTCCCAAAGTTCCCTAAACTAGATACAGATGCCGCTTTGTACAGATTCTCAATATAAACGTTGTCATTTGAATCGAAATTTCTATCTGTCTTGCCATCGCTCGGAATCAAAACCACAGGAATGCTCAATCTCCTGGAATCTGCTAATTTTGGCACGACAAGTAATTCGGAACCCTTTCGTGCATTTTGTCTATCATTACTCAAGTATAAATTTTCAACAGATTTAGTATTTATTATATGGTTGGCATTAATTTCATTCTTAGTGAAATCGAATTTATCCTTATCAGCGTCAACTGCAGGCGTTGGTGGTATCACTATAAGAGATTATGAAAATTTACAACCAAACTATTTATTTATTTATATAGGTTTGTTTACCTCAATGTGTTATCGGGTCTTTTGGGAAATCCATAATTATAGAGAATTGATATAGATATTGCAGTTTGTTTACTGTGAAAATAAACTCATCCTTAACAAGCATTCGTCCTAAATAAATAAGAAAGTTTTCATAGGAGGAGCAAATTGAGATACATACCTAAGAATGATAGGTAACACACACAAGTACCTAAACGTTAATTTAATGTTTAAGAGTATATTATAAATTAAATGTTACTTATATATCATGTATATAACATTACTTATTTTTATTTGTTACTAAAATAATATAAATAATACTTACAAACAATTTTCTCACATGGTTTTCGTTGTTTAATCATATGCCATTGCACTGGATGCATCACCATAGCTCCAAATATACTATGAGCTGATATTGCGCAAATTAATGCCAATGTTCCTCTAAATCCGAATTCAAGTAATGTAAATTTAATAAACAATGGATAAGCCATTGTTATCAATCCAATGGAAGCCTTACATAGACTGAGATAAAGCACTTTCTTCTTCGTGAAATAACTATTGAAGCTGGTATACGATACTGGAATAAGGAAGCCCATGCCCAAGCCTTGTAGAAAACCATTTGTTACTACTAGCTGAGTTGTAGATGCCACAAATATTGCAAGAAATGATGCCGTTGTGTATATTAAAGCTCCTATGAGACCAACTTGCCTTAATGAGAGTTTCTTGAGCAATATATTAGCTGAGAATCCTGGAAGAAAATGAACAGAATGTAAGTGCAGTTATTGAAGTACTGTGACATCCATATTATTTAACGTAAAGATATATTTTAATATGGGACGGCTGTAAGCTCTATTTTTTGGATTTTTTCAGATAAAATAGAGCCTATAGCCGTAGCGATACCTATAAGTATCTCTTGTAACAAATACTTCAGTACAATTCGCATTAGTCATGTTTTGTATAATACATCCATTTCTAGTTTTCATTCAAGATATGCTTATACCTACTCTTTATTAAACGTTTAGGATCCTCGAATTAGTGTTATTGTGCATTAGATAAGATATTATCGGATGATTACTATCAGGATAGGGAAAAAGATAGAGTAACAATAAAATAACTTTGCTAATAATTTTGCTATCCATACATGTTATCAATAATCTAATTAAATGGGCAAGTACCGTTATAAATATTTATATATAATAGAACTTCATAGTATGTCTATTCATCATTCAATGTTAAAAATAAGACGCTTGCATATCAAAGTCAAGTTCTTGAATCCAGTTCTTGATTGTAAATTTATGCAGTTTATTAACATCTATTAAATTTTATAACAATGCAGTAACGGCTGATTATATTTTCTTTTCTTAATTAAGACACTTCTTCTGTGTCGGTTATAATGTTTAACGAAGGTTTATTGAAATTAGTTTGTGTTCGAATAATATTTCTTATTGGATTTATAGTGACACAATTTGATTCAAACATAATCCATTGTAATTATTAATGAAGAATTATGATATACGAGTATAGACTTTATTTCATTTAAGATCCAACACAAATCAGAAGTTAGATATAAATGACCCTAAGTAGGTGGCACTTATGAAATCGTCAATTTAGATAAAAACTATACTATAATGTCATTAAATTACGCCATTTCAAACATTCCTCAAACTTTCACATTTTAATATTAATCTAATTTAAAACTTAATTAACTTGTATGCCATTAAGCTACAGATATACAATTAATAAATAAAATATATATGAATGTGGATGGATGTAAAGGGAGGGGACGCCCTAAAAAAAGATGGATGGATTGTGTCAAAGATGATATGAATAATAGAAGAGTATGCTCAGATATGACGATTGATAGAGAGCAGTGGAAGAGAATGACATACTGCGCCGACCCCAAATAATGGGATAAAGGCAAGGCAATGATGATGATGTCACCAAACAAAGATTTGACCAATGTGGTAATAATGAAAAAATAAAATAGCGCTTTCATAGCCAGTACATTATGACACGCGTCTAACGGATAAAAGATCAAAGATATCGGTTGAACAAAAGTAAAGTAGACATAAACCTAATATCAAGCCACCTAGTCAAAAAAATGCAGATCACATCCTTCTCTTATTAGAAATATATGTTACTTGCCCGGCTTCGCACATAGGTGTACATGTATTATATATAGAAACCTTCCTCTAAAATCACTCGATCTATTAAAATCGCGTCAAAATTCGTTGCGTAATTTTAAAGATTTAAGCATATATAGGGTCAGACAGCGACATATAATTTGTTTTATACTATGTAATGATTATTATTACATATGTATATTTCTCTATTAAACTGAAATAAATAAATGTATACATACCAGCGATGGCCAATGTTACTTGGAATACACCAAACACAACCGTCACAGCACCAGTGCCCACGCCAAGTTCGTTCAAGAAATCATTATATATAAACCCGAAGACAGGTTGGTGTGCCGTTCCTGCAATCTGATATTAATTTTATGAATTTTTAGTTCTGTGTAAGTCAATATTATATTAAATCCTATCCATAGAGTTGCAATCACTTTTACCATCAAGATTTCATGTTTACACATACAGGTTTCAATGTAAATAGCGAACTTTCACTTTTAGGGGAGGAGAATGTTAATCGTGGCAAATTCACCACAAATTTTTCACGATGGTTTACAGGTGGAACCGCTCGGAGTTCAGCCTGACATGATATCAGCTATCGACGCCATATACAAAACATGTTGTGAAATATAGATCTACGTACAGATAGAAAAAAATACCCCCCATTGTAGTAAAATAATTAATTTTGTGAATCTTTTCGATACTATCTACTATTTTATTATTTTATTCAATAATGAAAAAATAATGTTAAATATATTTCAATTAATATAGTTGATTTATTGCTCTCGATAGGCGAGATTTGATATATATAAGGTGGTCAAATATTTAAATAATTAACATTAAAAATATGCACTACACTAAAGGGATATCAATAAAAGAAATAAATAGTCATATATACGGAAATATACAATTTTTTTTCTTTATACTACTATGGTGGCAAACATGCATACGGCCCATCTGATGGTAAATGGTTACCGTAGCATGTGAACGCCTGAAACACCAGGAGTCTCACGTGCGCATTGGCCACCCTTAAGAAACCTTAATACTGCTACTTATAACCCTTCTTGAAAAGAAATTCTTTCTTCTTGTATGAGGAAGATATGGACAATATTTATAGTATTAGTAGGCACAAATATTAATATATTCTAGTTTAAACGCAATAGCATTTATAGACAGGATTGTACTCGAGTGAACCCGAGTTTAATTAAATATTTTATTAATTCCAATCTAATTTCGTATTTTCGAACTTAACTAAGACCGATATATATATATATATATCCGATATCAATAATGTCAATTAGATCTTTCATTGACGTAATACGTTGTATAATAATGGTGTATAATAATTAAAATGGCGCGAAACTGCGGAATCCAATGTCAGTGGATCGGTACTAGTCTCCAGAGTCAACCGACAGTAGTAGAAATGGTAGTTTAGTAGATTACGATATGAATATTTCCAAGCTTATTTACATTATAGTGTTAAAGTTTACAAATTTAATAGATTACTGCCCTGTACTTGTCTATTGATAGGTATTACTGTATCATTGATAAATTAAAATATAAAATATATATATATATATATATATTTATATATTTTTTTATTATATTATATATATCATAGAATCTTATTATAAAACGTGATCCAAGTAATAATTATAATACAAAATGGTGGACAATATAAGTTATTAAGAACTATTGGTATAGGTACAAGTATTGAATATTGAAGTACATATATTTAAATATATTGGAGTTATTTTAATATTCAGCACTAGTAATAATTTTGACGTATTTTTTTCTGTGAGGATACATTCTTAATCTTAAAATGGATACTAATGGGAAAAATATTATTCTCCTTTAAAACCTAAGTTTTTTTTATGAAATATATTATATTATTTTACTCGTTATTTTTCTTGAGTACAGATGATCTTCTGATCTTTTATACCAGTTTAAATGAGTTTTCGACCGGATAATATCCAACCTCTTTGAATATGTTTATATAGGTACCTAGTCTATGTCGATAATGTTCTAACATGATAAAAGAATAGGTGTCTGTATTTATTTAAAGACTGGAAAAAATATATATTTTATACGTATGTAGTTTCGAAATTAATATCCGAAGTAATTTAAAATTTATTATTTAATTTTTTAAGAAATTTGTAATATAATAAAAAATAATAAGAAACAATTTTGATTTATTTCATATTTAATATAAATACAAATCAATAGTATTAGAATTGAAAATTTTATTAATTTGACTTATATTATAAACGCGAAAGTTTGTGAGTGCGAGTGGATGGTTGGAAGGATAGATATATTTAATACTCTTTCACGCAAAAACTATTAAATGGATTTTACGAAATTTTACAATAACACACGTCAAGATAACACACAGGCTATAATTTCACGCGAGTGAAACTGCGGGCACAGCTAGTAATAATAATACAAAATTATTTGCAGATTTTAGTGATAATTATCAAGTACCAAATAATGTCAAACAGAACTACGGTTTAGTTTTATTCTCTATCTGCGACATCAAAGATATATTATATGATATTCCACTTGCTTTCTACGGGATTACCGAACCAATACGCTTCTAACCTAATGTTATGAGATGAGATTGCAAATATGAACTTTAAAAATTCAGGAGATTGAACTGGATTTCGTTCTTTGAATTCACAGGCCGCTTTAAAATATAATGATTATTTCCTTAGCGGATCGCGCTTTAATATTATCTCTATTAATGTTTGGAAATGATAACTAGAATGATATTTTTAAAATTTCACATACAACTATTGTACTGTCTAAAGACCAAACTGTTTGATTTCTATGTTTATATAAAAAAAAAACATTAAAGTATCTTTGAAACTTATAGCGCCGCTGTTAGACAAGTCTAACAGCGGCGCTATAAGTTTCAAAGAGTTTCCAAATCTATTTAGTTAATTATATCTATTCAATGTCATTTATTTATTATTTTCCAATTAAATTCATATTATTGAGGTGACTGACTTGTAAATCAGATGATATGTAAGTAAATAATTATTGTGTTTGAGGTTCATTATTACTCTCTATCAATAATTTATTGACTTATATTATTGACGTTTCCACACTACGCACTGATTTATACTGTTCCAAGATAAGAGTGAAAGTTATTTTATATTGAATTGTGTTATTATGGAATATTAAATATACTATCAATTATACCGATGCCAATAATAAACACTAACAGAATGTAATGAATGAAAATGAATGAAAACAGAATGCAAAATGAATGTAATTCATTGTGTTTATTAATAAATTGTTTGCCCATATTATAAATATTTTTTTTAAATATCTGAAGCGGAGGTGTCTGGTGTACTTGATTAGTGAGATGTATTGAGGGTTTCGAGGGGAAAAATAAGGAGGAAATTGAAAACGCGACTAATGCGACAGTGATATATAATAGATTGTTACAAAAAAGTATATAAAAAAAATATTATTATACAATTTAAAAATTATATAAAAACATCAAGGAGTTCGTTACAATACATATATTACTAAATTAATTTAAAAATTTCATTAAATTTAATATACTGAAATTGTCCACTGCTGGACATAGGCCTCCCCAAAGATCTCCACGACGATCGGTCCTGAGCTGCTCGCATCCAATGCCTTCCCGCGATCTTGACCAGGGACATCAAACATATGATGATGATGATGATGACTGAAATTGTAATCAAAAAACATATATGAGAAAAACAAAACAATTGTTTTAGAATCTGTATCGAATTGCCTATGCATCTGTGTACTAACTGAGAATTTATTTGTGTGTAAAACTTATAAAAAATTAAAAAAATCACCTAACATTTTATATTTGTTTTATTCACAACCGAACAATATGTAAGTAGATTTTTTGTTCTTATAAATTACCAAATTTTGAAATTCATACCTGCTCGTTATGCTAATATCAAACAGAAAATAAACAAACATAATATAACTAAAAAGATTTCATCGAAACACAATATAATTTTGAGATTGACAAGTATATTATATACGCATTAAATAGTTAATTTATATGTGATAATATTTTAGGTAAATGTTTACCATAGTGTTATTTTTTCATATTCTTCGTACTTTCTAAATCAGTAAACAAGTTTAGCATAAAACTGTTAAGAAATTCAATGTTCCTCTGATTAAACCAGTCAAATATATATATTTATATATTTTAACTGGTTTAATAAGAGGAACATTATATTAACAATAAGTTTGAGTATAGTCAAATCTGTCTCGTTATTTACTAAAAAAAATCTAATATGTATTCCTGTACTTACATGTTTATCTTGTAATGAATATAATTTTATAAATATGACTTATATTATTACATCTTATTTAATATTAATTTATCAAAAAATTATATACTTACGAATATAACGGAAAGCCCAATGCATACTATGTACCCCCAGCCACCCTCTGGAGGCACAAACTCGTATTTATCTTCGTCTCCATCACATAAAATTTGTTTATCTTTCAAGCCCATTTTCCTCAAAAACACAATCTCACAAACACTACCCTATGTATCAAATCTTATACAACCTTTTATAGCTCGGTTGGTGGTCTTATAAATCTCTTGTTATCGTATACAAATGCGGTGTTTGTGTAAAGGCTTACATATAATTGTAGTAATATAATTAAAGAAACAAATATACACACATACTATACAATCCTTGGATTTCCCATAATAAACACCACGTATGAAAAACACGACACTAAGTTATAATCTCACAAATCTTTCACAGAAACCAACTGGCAAGCAATAAAGCCAATTAAAAACTTTATTATTGTTGTTCCTTATTTAAAATAAACTATTTACTATTTAAAAATATTATTTCTTTAATTTTAAGTTCGCGGTATAACTATGTTTTGTTTTTACGTCCGAGACGTCGGATTATGTTGACATGTCGAAAGCAGATGACCCAGATATTGTCTGTGAGACTGGTTAGTTAATGAATTTTAGTTGCTTATTAAGAATCCACAAGCTTTATGACAGCGCACAAGTAACTTATCAAGTTATATTCCAGACATTGATAAATTTATAATATGGGTAAATATTAGTGGCCAGTATGCAAAGCATCGATTTAAATAGATGCCGTAACTGTATTTACCTTACGTATCAGCTTAATATTGATCGTAGCGTCAGGGATGGTCAGTTAATATTGTCTTAGGGGAAACGGGAATGAGCAGAATTACATGAATCCAAATACAATATGTACGCTCCTAGAATAAATAGTTTGAAGTGGTTATCAACCAAAATTCCAATCTTATGTAAGGTGTAATAAACAATCCCAGTTTAGGTAATATTTACGAGTTAGTAAAAAAATATCAGGACGTGTAAATTATGCCTGCTACCTGCCAATTTTTCTATTTTCTCAACAATAAACTGGTAGATAACAACTGCATTAATGTGAAAATTTGCATTAATGTATATATTTTTTCATGATGATTTCATGAGATTTTCATTTATCATGATGTATCTACATTACGGTTTCTGAGAACCCTAAAACTTTATAACATTTGCCCATCTCACCCTTCACACCGTATTACAGTACGTACTAACACTGTACGTATTTCAATTTCCTGATAGAAACTTAGAACGGCTTAAAATTGACGAGACATTCTCGTCGAAAATGAAAGACCTCCGACTATCATAATAATGGAATGATTCGTTAGCCCCATCAATATTCTTAATCAGCACTATCTTAAACAGACGTTTCTTCCATTCAAACCCAGATAAACTTATCTTATCCATAATGATATAATACAAAAATGTCGCTACTAATTATAAAAACTATGTAACAACCTTGCTTTCTACTTAGCTACATACAAATGGGATTAGAAAAACCATATTTAATTAGTAGATGCCGAATCATCTGCAATTGTATTATCTCACAACATTTAGGGTTTCTCAGTTGAATACAAACGGTCGTCGTGTGTACCGCAATCTCACCTATTTCAGCCACCAAGCAACTTGCTTTATTAGATATGTTTCGATTGAAGGATGAGATGATAGTCAAGGTGTGATAAAGCAATAAAATTACAGGATATGGAAGCATAATATCTTAGTTCTCAGGATAAGGGGTGACACATTGTAAAGAATATTCGTGGTCCCATTCATGTGGTCGACAGTTGCCACTTATCATCAGGATGGCCATTACTTTATTTACTATTTCAGTTCATTCATTCATAACTTAAGAGTGACGCTGTTGTCGACGGAGTTATTGCCATTTTCTACGATCTTCTATCAGGCTCTTTAAATGTTGATACGTCACAAGTCCAGTTCTGCCTTTAATTTCCATGATGTACCTGTGCATTGGTCTTCGTCTCTCCATCTTTCCTTCTATCTTCCATCTCAGTTAATTAAAAAATAATCATGTCTCTTTTTGTTTTAATGATATTTGACAGCATCGGTGTTCTAACGGTTTAGCACACCGCTTTACTTTTAATGGTCGCGGGATTCGGTTCTTCGCACGGTGCAAACATTTATCTTTATGAGTGTGGTTGTTTACATTATTCTGGATGTTTTCTATGTGTGTATTAAAAAAATGTATTTACAAAAAAAAGTATTTAAGTAATATAAATAACAATACTTTTTTATATGAAAGAGTTTTTAAAAATCTTAATTCAGATACAAATTATTATAATCTATTTTTAGACACTATTGATGATTGTGTTTTATAAAGTTATTTAATGTTTATATTTTTAAACGTAAAAAACAAATCCATTTTTATTGATGAATTACTTACGATAACATAATGTCTGAATTCTCAGAAAACTGTTTCCTAAATAAATAAGAAGTATTTTCCTGATAAAATAGTTATATATGGGCTCCTCTAACGTTATATCTTCCAGTTTTACTTGCAAAAACTTATTGGAAGATCCCATACAAGCAAATGAAGTGAAACCTCGACAGGATTCTGGAAATAAAAATACAGAGATACTTGCAGGAAGTCAGTTGCAAGTATCTCAGAACTGTTTCCTTTGACAACCTAAGTGAAATGAAGAACGAGATTTTTAGTAATGCCGATAAATAGAAAAATAGGGAATTTCAGTAAGAAATGCAGGTCAATGACTTTTGTCATGTTATTAATAGTACAGAACCCTCATTGTACAATTCTAGTTTCACAATAATTCGTACGTACGTACTACAAATATAGTAGATATATAATTTACTTTATGACGACAATTATTAAAAACCGCGATAACAACTCTTTCATTTGAATATTTCATGAATATTATGTTATATGAATATTTTAGCTACATTTCTTAAACTTTCTTAAAGTCATTGACATTTATCGGTAAGTATTATATTTAAACATATTGATGATTATAGTATTTACTAAGTAATAAGGGAATAAAACTTCATACAAAATACATAAGAATGTTCATAAAAAATACGTAAATAATATCCAAAATACGATAGAGAAAGGAATAAGATTTTTTATGACGATTAAATGATAATCCCGCCTGCACCTAATGATATTATATGCTGCTCAGGAAACTAAAAGATGAAAAGATGAGTATAAAATCTACTCAGTTAGTTTATTATTGATAATTGGATATGATTCCGGTTCCATTCCATTAAAAATAAACAACGTGTTTCGGTTCTGTGAAAGTGATTCAAGAAATATAAAAATTGTTATTAATTCCTAAGGTACATAAATTACCGTATTTTAGTACTTTTGAACGCACGATCGAAGCTATGGTAAACTGTCTGAGGATTCCATAAATTTAAAATTAAAAAAACTATTTAATATTTAATTTATTTAAAAAAAAGATAAAATAGTTTACAGTAGGTACGTATTAGTTAATATCGCGTTATATATATCTGTATAAATAATCAATTTAGGTTAAAATATTTTTGTTTTTTTTACATTAACTAGGTACAGTCAAGTGTAAATATCATTCGGTTGTCTTATGTCATTTGATATTTTAGAATGTTGTGATTATTATTTATTTTGTTAATTATATTGTTGTTACTTCTTTTGCAATGATAACCCCAGTTTTGCGTCGCTATCCATCAATTTATTCTAAGATTGCCAGCAACCGTTTCTGTTATTTAAAATCACCAAATGTTAATTAGTATGCCTTATAATTGCGGTAGACATCTATTCATATCTGTTTAACGTAAACTTTGTTATCGAGCAAGCGACAAGCGTCTGCTAACTGCCCTGTGCAACCCTGAAGCATAAACGGATCTAGTCAAAACCAGTTTAAACTAAATTATATGTATACAATTTGAAACTTGACTACTATATACTTGTAATATTTTGGGAAACAATTATTTAAATGGAAATCAACGGCATTTTATTAATAACACATGTCATAAGATCTCCAACAAAATTTGATCAGAGCCATGCGTGATGTAGTTCCCTTCAGTTCAATGAAATTACTAAATATAGTTCAGATACATTTTCTCAAGAGACTACAGCATGGGATTTTTCATGAAGGGTATGTTAAGGTTTTTTGGTCAACAACGCGCACGTGCCACCCTTTGTCACACGTGTCTTAAGCGTCCATGTTTGCTATCATCGTAGTACAAAAAAAAGGCATGACATTACACCTTATACATCTAAACTACAAAACGAACTTTAAAACGGTTTTCACTGCAATACAGAGAATTTATTCCAGAATGTTGTTATGTTTATTTACGTATGATGTCCCCGATTGTCAATTGGTATAATACACCGCTATACTTCCGATGGTAGCGAGTTCGAGTATATTCTATGAAAAAAAATCTATGAATTTGTATTGGTTGTCTAGTACCCATAACACAAGCTCTGCTTAGCTTGAGACTAGGTGGGACTGTATGAATTGTCCACGTATTGTTATGTCCATTATTTTGATTTCTATCCAATCTAATTATATGACATCCGCAACTTACAAATCCATAGTGAGCCGCTCATAAAAAATACAAAAAAAGCAAACCAAATAAAAGAGCAAGTTAACAAGTCTATTACATTGTATGTATCTATTATATTATATTATTATACAGACATCAATATGTCGCGTGCCAGTGTGGACGATGTGATGATTGCGGATGCAAGATAAGGTTGCTGACATTGTGACGGTTTGAACCCAATTTCAAAACATCCAACCGTGTTATAATATATAATATGTAATGTTTACATAAACGGTTGACAACAGATTGTGTATATATTAATAATTAATAAAACTTAAAATGTATATAGGCATGAATCATAAAAGACTGAAGAATGAAAGATTATAGACCACATTTCCAAGTTTATGGTGAGTTGGATCTGTTTACATGAAGCCAATTTATATATTATCTTAGCGGGAATAATATTTGTAACATTCTTAATATATTATAAATATAAATTAATGCTAATTGAATTTATATATTAACAATCTAATACCATTAATAATTTTTACATGACATTCATTATTAGCCAAAAAACTACTGTAAAAGTTAATAATAACAAGAAACCTTCATTAGAAAGTAGTAGTAATCTGAATGAAGGGTTTATATAACACCAGTTGTTACTTACGACTTCTACTGAGTTTATAGTGTAAATGAGAGCCTATAAATACAAGACAAACTGTATAAATAGTCCTCATTATATAATCTATCTTCACATCAAATTTATGAAGATCTATTCAACGTTTATTCATGAGAAGGTAACAAACAGACATATAAACTTTCGTTCACATTTATGATATTATTATAAATGGATTGTTTGGGTAAGTTAGTTTCGTATTATACAAAAAATTCCACGACTTATAAATAATGTTTGATATGCAGATCTGTGTCAAGTTTCCCATCCAATTAATTTATAATGACCTCCCAGCGAATGGACCTCCGATCCGCGCTTGACAGAGAAACAAACAAAAATGCTTACTATCGTAAGTAATGATTTTTATGGTTATAATTAAAACGACAAGTTGACAGCCCATATAGTGGTGAGCGGAAACATGAAGCCAATATACTTGAAGAGGATCGGTATATATATGTAATGTATATTATATATGTATGTAAGACCGGAAGACGCAGCGTGGGAAGGCCTCCAGCAAGGTGGACCGACGATCTGGTCAAGATCGCTGGAAGGCATTGGATGCGAGCAGCGCAGGACCGATCGTCGTGGAGATCTTTGGGGGAGGCCTATGTCCAGCAGTGGACGTCTTCCGGGCTGCGATGATGATGATGATGATGATGTAATAAAACAATGTATCTACGAATTTGTAACAGTAGTCTGGTTTTGCTTAGTTTGGGACTAGATGCCACTAAAACTGTCCAGAGATATTATTATTATAGTTAATCAAGTTATCCTGGTTCTACAATAATATTCAAAATCTAGTAAACATCTATATGTTTACTACATTTTTATATTACGAGCTTATTACTTATATTAATATGCATTATGCCATGATACGATAACAGGCAGATTGACAGTCATTTTTTGTGAAAAATTATTTAAAAGAGCAACACGCAAGTATCTTGCTCTTCTTGTGATGAGACAGCTTTCCGAATGAGCGGTAGATTAAAAAAATGTGATGACTATTCAAAAGTGCTTCGGTGTAAGTTTATTAGAATAAATGCTTCTAGAATAAATCTTCTGCTATTGTATTCTTTGTTCCTCTTTGTACGAAAATAGCACAGACGGAGAAGTATGAAATTTTGCACACTTATAGTGTATGTAGAGAAGAGTATAGAGTACAAAGTGCTAAAATTTTATTTTAATTGTGCATAAAAATACATTAAATCAATAAAATAAATATTACATCACATACTCTTTTGTTTATTGTTAAAGTTAGTGGGCAAAATGAGAATAGATAAACATTGTTTGTCTTTAATATTATTTGTTTATAGTCTTACTGAATGTCAAAAGTAACCACAATAAATTCATTTATACATATATTTATTTATATCAGTTATTAGAGTGGTATCGACTTTATATTAGATTTATATACAAATATAAATCTCAATATAAATAGAAAGTTGTGTAGCAGTATTCTGAATTACAACTTTAATAATATTCAACCACATAACTTAAATTAATTATTGTCGAATTTCCAGAACTGTGTGACCACTAGTAAAGTATAAATAAAATACATTTTATAGTATAGTGACCACTAGTAATAGGTCAATGATGAAGGTGTATATCTATTTTCTTGGTCATGTTGACATTGGACTAAAACAAATTATTTATATGTAAATTACTTTGTTTACAAACGAATTATTTTTATTATGTTATTATTAGTTCTATATTTATTATATAATATAGATGGTTATATAAATAATCGTGAAATGTAATCTAAAATTAACGGAACATTAAATCTAAATAAATTAATTTCTATCGTATCTATAACGAAATGAAGGTATCCTCATAGGCAATACATTAGTTAAACTTGAAAGCATACTATGCATATACATAGGTACCTGTCGTAATATTTGTTACCATGGAAAATTTGTGTCCATGGAAAATTTGTAATATTTATTATGTTGTCGCCTCGGATACTTGGCGTCCTTTAATATTTACGGAAATAATATACTTTCAAAGCTTAATTAATGAATTAATATTGCTCTGTTTACTTCCGCTACCATTCATTTAATGAACGATAATGGATTGGTGCACTGGTCAACAGTGTATGTTAGTAGAGCACCAGTGGAGGATGATAGGATGAACATAGTCAGGTCATTTAGCCAATCGTGGCAAATACAATCAAGCTGGTTTCCAGGTGAGACCACGTGTAGATATCAATCTGATCGTATCAATTTATTATTGTTAGCAATGTGGACCACTGGTCCCTATTACTAACAATCCCTTCCCTAACTTTGAACTATCATTGTTATTTATAAGTTCACATATATTCAGAGACATGTGTTCGCCGTACGCGCCGCGCCGTACATGGGTGTAGTAGACTCGTTAGTTGGATATTAATCAGTAATAAGGATCAATGTAATGCTTCTAATAGTGACTGATTATCTGTGGTCACATACTTATGTATATACATGATGATATTAAACAAAATAATATTAATCCAATGATTAATGAAATGTACCTTCACAAAAAAATCCTAATTTCATAAAGAATTTAAAAATCAATTTAGTTTATTAACATTAGTTTTAATACAGATTCCATAATACTCGTAATTCTTATACTATATTATTAATAATTATTATAGAGAAATAAAAAAATCTTCGCGGCTATCACAATAACAGACACATTTCACTTCGGCTGTGCGATTATGAATAGGTAATGCGTAAGAAAAAAGCTTTCTTGTTTTGGCGCCCACACTCTATTCTGAAAAAATAATAGAAATATAATGTAATATATAGCTCTACTTCTAAAGACTGAATATAAGAACTGGTATTTAACATTCGAAACAGATACTATATATTATTTTATGAATTGAATATAATGGAAGTATTAATTTAATAAAAAGGTACATGTTACGAATTACATGAAATTTACAATTGGTTTACGTTTGACATATTTGTAACGTTAAAATATAGCTGTTTATGTGCATTTATAATCACTGTTCACACTCAACATTCAACCCTAAATACATTTATATAAAATAATTCAAGAAACAGTTATAATTAAAATACAAGTCTGTGAAACCAAATAAAGAGATTCCACTTTTAAAATATTTCATTTATATTTTAATAACGATACAAAACTGTATAAATCGTACGATTAAAGGAGCCTAATAAAAGTTCTATAAACTATAGGTACCACAGAGAAATTAACAATTTTTATTCAAAATTGAATCTACTACTATGTAACAAATCTGTTCTAAAAATATAAGAGTGCACAGGACAGGAGGAATTATTTTATTACTATATGTAGCCGGACAATCGAAACACTTTAAATATCAAACCGGCCCCCCTCACTTCTGTCATTACTTCTTAAATTGTTTTTTTTTAATAGCAGCCAGTATTTATTTTTAAACAAAATGTATTACTTTAAAAAAGTTTTGATCGCAATATGAATACGGATATTAAAATTTATCTTTAAAAATACAAACCCTTATAAATCAGATTAAAATTTCCTCACTTTTGCTACAACTTTTATGGGTTTGTCGATGCTTTTCGTTGTGATCTTCTATATTTTCTTTCTTTATAATATAGTTCAATTATCCATATCACCATTACTAATAGAATAATACCAGCCATTATGGAAAATACTACTGTGTAGCTGCCTGTAATATCTCTCACAGCACCTGTTAATTATATACAAATTAGTTGAAAAAAAATTTAGATATGACCTGAACTGGGTACCACTACTTCATAATAAATTATGGCATAATAACATGTTTAACTAATAAAATAATTTCAATTTCTTAACTATCTAGGTGATAATGTAGCAATTAGGATACTATTATAGGATGACGTCAAAGGACAATGAACACTACCGCTTTATAAAAAAGAATGAAACAGCCCATATTAGAATTGAAATAATATTGAAACTATTTAACGACCTGTAACGGTCAATATAAAAAATGGCACAGTTATACGTAATTATTCTTTTACGTTATTTTTGTTTTACGTAATTTTTGTCTTGCATACACGGACAAAACCTTCGTTATGGATCTATGCAAACAATTATTTGCAAATATGCTGTGGAGAAAAAAAATAGTCACAAAGATTTATCCAAATAATATTTTATTTGTAGTGACTGAAACATACCGTTATCGTTATTTCCTCGGTAATAAATATACAATAACTTATCCTTACTTAATATGATGTCCTTAAAAGTTTTAAATTTAGAATTAATAATACCAACATCTCAGAATTTATATTTAAAATATTTGTTTTTTGTTTCAGGTATATAATATTCACCTCGACCACCATTATGATTTTCAGTAAGTGTAGCCTTGACAATACGACCAATCATCCTACATGTATGATATTCATTGGACATCAACAACACGTATAATTATTATAAATTTCAATTCACATATGTAAAACAACACTGCAGTGCTGTACACATAAATATATTTTTTTGATATAATAAATTACATATATGTTTGCATCGAGTTTACTTTATATTATATGTTCTTACATTTTTCAATATTAATAATAATGTTGTGATAAAATAATTAGTATTAAAATAATTTAATACTAATTATTTTATCACAATTATCACAAGCGTAAGTAATTTTCAACCTTATTAGGTCATAGATCTTATTATTGAAGCTCTTGGTGATTGATTTATTTAGTAATTTATATAATAAATTAGATAATTAGTAAAATTTATTATTATTTTTATATAAATATATTTATTCAATTAAAGAATTATAATTATACATAAAATATGTCTCCCAAATTCACATTGCTTAACTAAAATTAATTTTTGTTACCAAAGGAAATACTTCAATCTGAGAAATGCTTAATAAAAAATTTACTCACCAGTGAGAGGTCCTAATACTATACTAATGATTCCTACGACCATCATAAAAGTACCATTGGCGGCTGTAAATTTTTCAACTCCCACTGCATCGACGATTACCAAAGGTCCCAGTATTACAAAGAAACAGCGGCTAACTCCAATAAAAGTCATAAATATTAAAACTGGAGTAATATCCTTTGATAGCAGCATTCCTGAAATATATATTAAGTGAATTAATTTCTAATCAAACAGTAAGCTATGTAGGAACTGTTGGTTGAGCTTGCAATAATACATTTCCTATTAAATCGTTAAAAAAATATTTACCTTTGAACTTGAACAATATTATAATCAAAAATAAAGTCAATAGTCAAAAAAGACATTCTGTATAAATCATAGTTTAAATTAAACATCAAGATTTTAAATTATCATATCTGTTAATAAAAATTATTCTTATGACAAATGAACACTAGTATTATGTCTCATACACATTAAACAATAATAACTAATTAATACATATTTGTAATAGTCACAAATATAAACAGTCGAGGACATCGAAGCAAATACGAACTGCCAAATATTTTATAGTAATATTTTTTATTTCAACTTCTTTACTGCTGTGATGTTAATTAAAAGTCAGAATTTCTTTTCTAAATAAAATATAAATTGATTTTTTGTAGAAATAATTATAAAATGTATAATTTTAAGTCACAAAATGAACTATTCCGCAAAAACTGGATCACGTCAGTTTAAAAAAAATTATCTATTAATTATGATAAGATAATTTAGATGTTTGAATTAGAACTTACCTATTCTGGCTATGCAAGCAATACCTAATCCGATTATAAATAATTTTTCTATTCCCATCTTATATAACCAATTATTAAGAAGAATGAACACTCCTCTCGCTGCGGTGTCTCCGAAAGCCACAATAGAGATAGCCGTTGCAACATTTTCCTAAAATAAAAAAGATTTTACACTCAGTTTTATAAGTTGACCCCTAATCAGGTTGCTTGTAATAGCGCCGGAATATCATCTCATAAATAATACTCGAACGGCTTCGGTTTTCTAGCAGCTTAGTATACTGATTGGCTACTAATGGTCTCGAGTTTGATTCCTCGCACAGTGCGTACATTTGTATTTATGAGTATGACTAATTGTATTTGTCTGGTTGTTTTCTATGCATATTATTTGCATTTAAGAATATATATCATTTGTATAGATTGCACTATGTGAATGATCCGGTATTATTAAAATAATTACGGTAAATATCCGGTTTTGAAATGAGTACTATTGTGAGGGAATTGTTACTGATGGGGCTAGTATTCCATCAATAGCAATGGGATCTTTAGCTGGACCTCCAACCTATCTCCTTGGAGAAAAAAAAGCATGGTTAATTCCTAGTGAATTCGCCACGATGAGTCAACCTTAATGTACATCCAGTCATCCTCCACTGTTATGCCAGCGTATACCATTAGCGCAGAAGGTGTAACTTTCCATTATCACCCAAAAATACTGGGTATTATTCTATTTTATAGGTATTTCTTTTGAATTAATATTAATAATATAGATGATATTATATATGTTACTATGTTTCTAATATTATAAACCTTTTATATTTTGGAATATTCTATTTATAAAAAGATTTGTATTTACTGAAAAAAAAGATATTATGCGTTAACTACGCATAATATATTTTTTTTACGGTTACGTTATGAGTAGTTACTGAGTAGTCATATTTTTTCTCTTCTCCTTTTTTTTTGTATCTGGAAGCAGTTGTAGACAATAGCTTATAGACCAGACTAACATATAAGCTATATATAAATATTACATAAGAAATATCGCGGGCACAACTGGTAATACTTACCATATTTAATTATTACGTTATTATGTTTGCACATCATAATAATTTCGATAGAAAAAGTTAGCTTTCGAAATGAAATTGGGAAAAAACGAAATTACGTTTTTATTTTTCCAATTTCCTCTCGTACGCCACCTTCCACATTCTATCCCCTAAGGTTGTTTGTAAGAGACGGCGATAGAGATTGCTTTAGCTCGATACTATTTACTCTCCTAACTTTTTTATATAATTCGTACTAGTTCGTCTTTTTGAGATAAAATAATCTGTATCTGTTCTTGTGATACAATTTAATATTCTATATTCACATCTCATTAAATTAGTTTCTTTCTATTACGATGTATTCAGACAAATCAAGCAGTTTTAAGACGAAACATATCAAACAGACAAACAGCCCTATCTAACAAATGGACTAATACACTTTCGCATTATACTACTATAGACTTTGCCTTATGGGTATTAAATTTTTAATCGTCACGTGAGTGTAAATTATGGTCTAATAAAAAAAATAATGCAATATAACTATAATGTCCATAGTGTATATTTCGACGTAAACAAAATTTAATTCAGTTTTTATTACAGTAATAAATCTGTCAATTTTGAAGTATAAATTCAAATTTCCCAATTTAAATCGGAGTTCATTTTGCTAGAGATAATTAGATGGAAATATAATAATGTTAATGTTTAGATAAGCTATCTATTAAATCAAGTAGGATCAACTATCATATAGGATGTGAAAATATCTTGATTATTCGTAGTATGATATTCCAATATTTTTTTTTACAATGTAATGATATTGTAAAAATCATTACATCTAAATATATTTATAGGTCATTACCTATAAATATTTATATATTTAGAAAAGTACATTATTTTTAAATTATTTAGTGCTTCAAACCCCAATATATGTATATTCGAGAGGAATTCGAGAGCAAAATATTAAATATTATTTTGCTCTCGAATTCCTCTCGAAAAAAACGCTCTTAAATTGTAGGTTTCAAACTGTTTGACAATTGGTCTTAAAAATATTATATTTGACATCATCTGAGACAGTATGACGTAGGCACATAGTACTATTTAAATATTTAAACTTATTACATAATAGTATAAAGCAACAATTACTCAGTCACAAATAAATACAAATGGTACATTGTACCATAATAACTAAATAGCTTGAGCTATGTGGCGCTAGATGGCGCTGTGTGAATTAAAAATTATAGAGTGCAGTTATGTATTGGTTTTCATGTACTTAACAGTTATGACTTTCTTTCAGGTTTCTTTTGCATATTTGCTACTCATATTATATATAAAAAATACTTACATAATTCCATTGTAAAGAATATAACGCTTGTGGAAAAATCATGGAAAATGTTAAATCACAGAAGAATGCGAATGATGGGCCCACAATAATAATTGACGAATAAACTATTTTTATTATATCTTTATCAAACAGCTCGCTTACTAATATCCTGAAACACAAAAAAACATCATTTAGTCGTATGATTCACTCACTAATGCTGTTTATCAATATGTCTATCGGCATAAATTATTATATTAGGTAATTAATTTAAATCTTTTAAATTATTATAACTTTTTATTGGGAAAACCCTTCAGATTATGACACATAACATAATCTAGTGAGTCCGACTATGTTTAGAAAATCTTACAGCTAATAAATATATTTAAATTTAAACAGATATTATATTACACTCCCGGATAATTAATAATGATAAACTCACGTCGATGAAATTGTACTGAAGTACACTTTACATAATCTACGTAGGTATATCAGTCTCATCTAATTTAGCCATCAAACAGCTGACTTTGTAAGATATATTTCGGATGAAGGGTGATATAAATGAAATGATAACATACGAGAAGTAACTCAGAGGTAATATGTGTGGTGCTGTTTAGGAATGTAGGCGATGGTCAGCACTTAATATCAGGGGAGCCGACAGCTAGTAGGTATACCATTTCAGTAAAAAAATACGTTAATTTATTTGTCTAATTGCGCGTTCAAATGCCATAGTTTGGGTTAAAGCATTTTTGTCCATAACTAGTAATAATAAATGTGAGAAAAAAATATACTTTCAAGACGTTTGATATAGCAGAGCGCAGTAACAGAAGTGGGTATAAAGGCAATAGACAATAAACACTTTTATTCCAAACATGAATAAATGAATACACAAATTGCCAGTGAATCTTATTGTAGGTCTATCACAAAGTTTAAGCCACAGATTATATTAAAGATCAAAGACACATTTACATACTTATACAATAAAATCTTTACCGTCTTTTCTTTTATGTACCTATTAAAATAATATAATAATACATACTTGATGGCCGATTGCTTCTTATCTGGCAAAGGCACTTCGATATCCGTTTTCTCTATTACTTGTACTTCGGGAGATTTTATTTCGGTAACCTTGACTACAGGCACATTATCACTCTCATTTGTAGGATTAGCCAGCAGTGTTAGATTTTCTGTAATGCAGTAAATTATGATAATCCTATTTAGTAATCTATGAAGAATATTTAATTGAATATAGTAATATTTTACGGATAAATAAATTTTTATTTATTGTTTATAATATATAAAGGATGTCATGGTTATATATATATGTCTTAAACGATGTTCATAGCAGCTTTACAACTTTACTGGCAACATAATTGTTGGCAAGTGCAAACAGCGCTTCATGCCCACGGAAAGAGTAATCGAGTGGCTGAAGGCCAATACCTACCTGATGGATACTTTCGTCTGACCGCTAGAGGTTCAAACCTCAGTTTAGGCTATCATAATTTTGTTTCTAGAGGTCAGATAATACTTATATTATTCCTGAATGATATAATTTATATGTTATACTTATACATACATATAGAAAAAAGTCACAAAGTTATGGGCAATAGGCAATAGCAAATAGAAGGTAGGGTGGACCACAACTGCAAATTACCAAAGAAGTACTGGTTAAATTATTACAATATACTTACCATCAATTACCTCATCATCTGGTAACCTTATTTTCTTCACATGCCATTGTACGGGTTGCATTAATGCCACAGCGAGAAAGAGATGTGTGCTTATTCCTGATATTATTAGTAAGCATTCTCGAGAGCCATATATTTCTGATATCTTTTCAACTAGTTTGGGTATTGCCATACAAGTAATGCCTATAACAAATAGATGACATTTTTCTTTATATTATTATAAGTAATATAAGAATAAGCTATTACATAGAGAGAGTTTTATTCCTCAATCTTTCTCAGGTCTCTGCCATTTTGCTGCTTCGTGATAAGAAACTTTGTCCGTGAAGAAAGGTGGTTACCTCTATAAATTTCAGCCAGTAACAAAACAGTTTCTTTGTAAGCTGAATTTTGGTTGAAGGGTAGGTTAAGGCAGTTAAATTACAGAGTGCTGAGTGTTAACACTTATATATATATTATATACTACGGAATGCCAACGCATGAGAGTTTCGAACGTCGTTCGTTCGAAATTTGATACCGTCAAAAAAGTACAGTTTGAAAAATTCCATATTTGAAATGAAAAAAATATTAAAACTTGATAGTTTAGTCGAAGAAATATTTAACTAACGGGTATTGTAAGGTCAAATTGTGTAAATTAAAGCTTTTAAAATTCTACTTCAAATTATTTCTTTTTACCAAAATACGACGAATTTTTTTTTTGTAGTTTGTATAATTTTTTAGGTTACTTTTGTTAATATCCATAAATAGTACAATAATAATAATATGTAATAAAAATCTGGTTACATGCATTAGAACTGGAGCTGGAACATTATAATAAATAATTATTACAATAACAGTTGAAATATTTTCATACATACCTACTGCGGTTTGAGTAAGACTCACAGTGAACAATCGTTTAGTTGTAAAATAATCGTTTAATATGGTACTAGTCAGATTTAATAGAAGTCCAAAACCGGCACTCTGGAATTAAAAAACGACACAAATCACGATCACAGATCTCCAAGTTAGTGGTGGCCATGACTTGAAATTAACTTTAATGAAATCGTCAAAGTCATTGGTGGAAGAAATTTAGCACACCGCTTTACTTCCGACGGTCGCTTGGTTTCTTGTATATGTAGTTACTAAAATTAAGTTAAATCATTATCGTTTCGTAATACAGCGCTATGCGGAAAAAGTACAGTCAATAACCAGTGATAGATAGTATTCAAGGAACTGAATAGTTTCCACATAAATAATAAAATATGAAAATAATTTCCGTGCCTTCATACAAATTGCGCAGTCACGTGATCTATGTAATATGAAAAGTAAAATTTATTTTCATATTACCCCTTTATTTCTTGGTAAAAGTGCTTCAATTTTGTAAGTATTCTACCTGTGTTTTGACCTCATTAATCCCTTACGGCTAACCCTCTATTATAATTTATAATTAAGTTCTAGTAAGTTCTATAATTTATAATAAGCTCAAGTAATAAAAAAATACATTACTTGTAAGAAAGTGTAGCATATAAAGAACGATGCAATTGATTGGAATAAATATAGTCCTATAACACCTATATTGAACATAGTCGCTGCTATAAATGCCAATTGTCGAAAGGACAGCTTCTTGAGGAGTGCTGACGTAAGGAAACCTGAAAAATAAAACTACAGCTTAAATACTGTTCTTTATATAATATATTTATATAATAATTTGTATTATATAAAGAGCTAGCAAATTTTAAGGCTATTTGAAAAAGGCTACTTCTCATCATATGACGATTCTAATATTTTGATCGCAAGAAGTTTGAATTGTTATTACCAACATATATAATTTAGTTTATAAATAAATGTTTGGTGTATAAATAAATACGATATAGTTTTCAATATACATCATACGGTTAATGCTATTTGTATTAAGCCCGTTTGTTATACAAATTTCATCATCATCATCATTATCAGCCCACTGCAGTCCATAGGCCTCTGCCAAGGCACGCTACTGGGCACGATATTCAGCCCTTCTCTTCCACCTAGCTAGGCGTCCTACACTACGAATGCCAATTCGCGGTTTTCACTCTAGAACACGTCTACTCCAATGAGCATTGGTTCTGCGACAGATGTGTACAAATTTCAATAAAGTTTAAATAAATAAATACGGATATTGTAATAGAATATCAGGTTTTTCTAATGTTCAGAAATAACTTACCAAATAATGCATTCACCAACACACCAAGACCTGAGGCAACTGTGATCATTGTCGATCCTATTTTTAATTTGACTATTAGGTCATGGTACAGCAGACCGAAACAGGCACCAAAGCCTGTTGTTATAGACTGCAATAAATAACACAGTGCTGTAATAGTTCATTCGAAACGCTCAAAAAACCTTTTAGAAGGAAATATTAGATTTTTTTGTATGTTTATATGTTTGTAATGTATTAACTCAAAATGAACTAAACTATAGATATTATTAGCGACTAGAATAGGGTGTTATTCCACGCACGAACGTCACGAGATACTATTACTCAACATAGAAAAAATCGTAAATAAATAGAATCCCAATCCAATTCCAGAGTCCATAATTATAAACTCAGTAACTCTTATCACAACTATTGATACTACACACATTTTCAAATTGTCATCTTAAATCCAGAAACAGTCTCGGAAATTACAATACATATTTGTATCAACATATTAACAACACTGAAAATATTTCATCGTTTAGATTTTCTATATAGATAGACATTACCTGGAAATACACTATTTTATGAAAATTATGACGTGGAGCGAAGCATATTCCCTTGTATATTCGTAATATACAATATATACACATTACGTGTCGTATCACATTATACTCGTATTAATAAAATACTTATTTACTCACAAACACCATTGTGGCGGCAATACAAATCATGTAACCCCATCCTCCATCTGGTGCCACCAGTTTATATTTTTTTAGAACCGATTCACTTCTACCATCCATTATGTTACTTTATTGAATGATACAGTTCTACTTGTACAAATGAAATGAAAATGTTATCAACTTAAAGTAAACATTAGATTTCATCTCTATATTTATTATGATTTAATCAATTCAAAGATATGACTAAAATGCTGCACATCATGTCACGAGAAAAATTATTGTAGTTTTACTATAAATCTTTCTTTTTTTTTATCTTATCGCCACCTATAGCAAATAACTATCAGCTATACAGATGGACATCACCACGGACATCACAATATCATATGACATCCGTGATACTACTCCCGAGTAGCCATTTCAGAAGACTAAGATCTCATGCCTCTACAGGATAAGCCTGTAACATCATTGCCTAATCCAACACTGAAACATAGTTTAGAAAGTAAGCTACTCGGCGACTAAAATACCAACGTAACGAGTTTTTACGGTCTACTTCGATGAAATCCTTCATTCATGCTTTTATGACTCGCGTGTCCCATACACGTCAGTTCTGAAAACTCCAGATTACTCCTTTAGATAAATACGTAATTTATCAGTTTAATACAAGGTCTCCATTGGAATCTGTAAGTCTGTATAGTATATACATACTAGCTAGAGATGTGCAGTATACTAATATTTATATGTTATAGCTCTTAATGTAATCTATAGGGGGAAAAGGATTGCTATTGTCGTTTAGACGAAAAAAGGCAACAAACAGACACACTTTCACATGTATGTATATATATATAAAGCGCATCTATACAATGGTATACAGTATAATGGCATTCGATGGGAAATGTTAACTGTCGCTTATATAGGTATATCAGTAACACCATGAATCGCATAAATCGCATCATCAGACATAACACTATTCATTCATTCCATTTCCATTCCTACGCACTAAGATATCATGCCTTAGATTGTGACACCTCCATGTTTGAGCAAAGGTGCGGTATATAAATCTCTACAATCAAGTGCTAATACGTTAAACAGAGCACATTATCAATTTAAAACAGATAATAATTAAATTATTTACTTAACATAGGTATGTATGAGATTAGATGTGTATTTCTTGTATAAATTAACAAAAAATGTATTGTCATGCATTACTTCACAAATTGTGTTTATCTCGATTTGATTAAGCAATGTTGATGCTGCTAATTACTGGTGCTTGTGAAATTTGGAACTCATCATTACAAAACAAGGTCACTTGCACTCTTCAACCGGTTAAATTTCATAGTATTAGAAATATATAAGGAACAGAAAACAAACACACTGTTCTATAATATATGCGTACCTCGTAATGGATCTGCCATGCAAAATAAAGGTAATATTCAGTCATTATAAATCGTACTATGGATACGTACGTAATATACAATAAGCATTAGACATCACAATACGAATATATATTATTTAGGATATACCTTTCTATATACATTTGCAACAGTTATATTTTCCAACAAGTAGCGTAAAAAATAAATGTTAAGTTTTTAATGTTCAATAACCAAGTGTTTGGCAAATACATAATCCTGAATATAAACTTTTTAATACCAATGTTACGTTTAGTTAATTATATATTTTGTTGTTTATTACCCAATGAGGGGTACTATTTTTTTTATGTTTTAAGTAAACCTTTTTAATGTTCAATAACCAAGTGTTTGGCAAATACATAATCCTGAATATAAACTTTTTAATACCAATGTTACGTTTAGTTAATTATATATTTTGTTATTTATTACCCAATCATACATATTGTAACGTTATGAACTAAACTAACCTGGATTCATCCTAAGCCTTATTTGACCAATTTATTAGCGCAGGTCTCCTTTAATCTTCTCCACTTTTTTTTGGATAATTAATAACCAGTTATAACAGATAAGATGAATAGATAACAACATGTTATCTATTCATCTTATCTGTGGACTCTTCCGATTTCCTGATTCCGACACCTTTTTTTTTCAACAAATGCAATCTGAACGAACTTCTTAGCATGACGTATCGGATTTAATTCATCTGTTTAACGTTAGATGGCACTAAATAATTTTACAATGCAATGTAATTTCCTTTTCCATGCTTCAATATATTCAAAATAATTTAAATTTACCGTAACCTTTAATATGATTAGGAATTGAGATTCTCAATCATACTAAACGCATTCCAAAATAAACCTCATTATGTCATGAATAGAATGAAACTATAAATAAGTTTATAGGTTACTAGCTTTTAGGATGGGAAGGTTATTGATAGTAATGGGGACTAGAACCCCATTAGTAGCAATATACAATGTCAGGTTGACAACTTCTCGGTTCTCTGTGGAAATTATCCTGATCAATTTGCCACAATAGGCTAACTGACATGACCTTATCCTCATTCTTAGTCTCCACTAATGCCCGCCAGCACGTTAGGTAGTAACTATATAAACAGCCAAGGCTTAAAGATTTAAAATCTGAATGCACTGTAGCGACATCACAGAGAAAAAATAGTATACGATGTTATTTAAATTAAACAGGAATAAGAAAGAAATTGAAAGCACACTGGACGTTGTCAACGTCAGCCGTCACATAATAATTTATAACGCCGGGCGCCCGTCTTGCCATGTCTTTTTATGGCTCTGTATGCTGTAACTTCATTATCATACCCTTCAAACTGAAATACTGCTTACATGGTATACTTCTTCGCTTCAGAAATAGGTGGTGACAACTTAGGTGACAACTTTCTGCACAGACTCTAGATTGAACGGAATTAAATATGCTGTAACTCAATAAATCAAGTTGCACATAAATTACCCAAACAAAGTGTACTCGTATTTTCTATAATGGTTTTGCAACTTTGAAAAGAACTTTGTAAGAACTTTGGAAGAATACTGAATAATTGATTGTACTGGTTCTATATTGTCCCTTCAGAAAAATATACGAGGCAGACAGCTTTTACTGAGCAGTAAATAATTGAAGCTAAGTGCGATTTCAGTTGCATTAGATTTTTATTCGGTTGAAACAACAAATAACCGACTACTAAGTAACAATAATAATAATAACCGGGGCAATTCACATAGCGCCATCTGGTCCAAAATTAAGTAGAGTAGAGCTTGTGTTATGGGTACTAAACAACTGATCCTACATAAATACCTTTTTTTCAATATGAGTAGGCACTATGAGTAGGTATTCCAAATACGCGGACAAAGTAGCGAGAGCTGTAGATTCATAAAATAATAATAATATACTGAAATAACTTTCTATATACGTGATAAATCTTAGTATGAAGAAACAATATATTTCATTTTTAAATAATCGTCGCCTATAAAAATATCAACGATTAATTTAGGTTATATATATATATATATTTAAAAATATATTACAAATAAAGTTATAAATAAACCTTAGGACTGTTAAGCAACTTATTCGATGCGAGGGACTGACTGAAAATCAGCGCTGTGCAGCATAGGTATAAACGTTACACTCACAGCATCAGCTGAGTCAGCTCCTTTTGCCCAGAATATGCCGTGTGAGGTACTATTATTTCTACAAATTTATACGTACGTCTGAGAGGTTCATTTCTTTATCGTTTGTTTTTCTCTTAAGTAAACAGTCTACGAATTCAAATGTATAGTATATCTAAGTGTCTTTTATTCTAACAATAAATATATTATTATTAATTCCAATAGTAATTGCACATACAAACCCGGAGGCGGATATCAATATAGAAATTAACAATGATCGGCTAGTAGATTTTCAGTTATGTTGAAAATACACAATACATTTCATTTTGTAGTGAATGCAAATTTCAAATAAAGACTTGTAATGGAAAGGTGCGCCTCCCTGGATCAATATGCAGTGAGCGTGCTTCAGTAAATTCAGGTTGATGTATCTACCGAGTGCGTTAGCATGTTATATATAGGTATTATTATGTAATAAATGTAGATAACATACAAATTATCATTTAATTTATTATTTAGCCGTTAGAATTGGTTAGTTGTATTAAATACTAATGACATTGACAAAATCACGGATCGTAATTGATGGCAGCCATTTCATAGTAAGAAGAAGAATATATTCTGAATTTCTTGTAGTGTATTGTATACAAACAATATATTAATATGTTTAATATTATAATATATTACAATTGATTTTTAATTATTCATGATACTCTGTAATCTAATAACTCTTTAATTCTATTTAAGACTCTCTTCGTAAATGTACTCAAGAAACTTATACAGTAACAACCTCATTATTAACATATGTATATTACGTATTAAAATATGCTTATTAACATTAACAAATAATATAATTGAATATCATTCTTAATATATGATAATGAAAAAATATCATTCAGGTTGTATCTATCGAAATTTCCTTGAGATCCCCTTCAGATCGCACATGGTGGAAAGCCTTTCCCGATGCTTTCCACCATGTGCAATCCTCTGCTTTTCAATAAATCAACATCTGTGTAAAACTATGTTTGTAAACTGTGTTTCCTATTCGAATTTGTTAAAAATAAAGCCTCTATTCTCTCAATCTCTTCCAGACTACCTTTAGGTAGAGAAAGTAAAGATAAGAAAATTATCTATACTGTAACTAGTTTTCTTTCTTTACATTCAAAACAATACATGAAATTAGGAAAATCACGATTATTTGTATCAGTCTCAGTATTTATGTGAATTGCCTAGTACCCGTAACACAAGCTCTGCTTACAGTGGGACTAGATGGCTCTGTGTTAATTGTCTAGGCTTGTTATTTATTTTAACTATGAATGTATACATAACGTATACAACGGCTTGTAATTTTTAAACTGCTTAAAATTATTATTAATCTTATATTAGATGGTAACTGTTACCTTTAAACACGAACATCACGTTATCATATGACACCCGTTGTACCAATTGCGTCGTCATAAGCGTACCCACTCAGACGATTTCATAAACTCCGCCACGGTAAATGTAATATTAATCTTGAAGAAAAATGTAAAATCACAAACGTAATACTTTAATACAGATACACAAAAAACTGAAGAAATAATTCACACAAAAA